AGCCCACATGTACGTCCGAGGTAGAAGCCGCCGACGCCTTCTCGTCCAGGATGATGAAGATGCAGGAAGAGGCGAAGGCGGCCCTGGAACACGCAGCGGACGAGATGGCCCGCTACTACGACCGAGGTCGAGAGACAGCCCCCAAGTACCAGGAGGGTGACCGAGTCTGGCTCAGCGCCCAAAACTATACGACTGACCGCCCGACCAAGAAGCTAGACCATAAGTGGTTAGGCCCCTTCAAAGTTGTCAAGGTCGTCTCCCCGGCTGCCGTCAAGCTCCAACTCACCGCACGGCAAAAGGGAATTCACCCAGTCGTATCTGTGACGAACGTAAGACCCTACCACCCGGACGAGATCGCAGAACGACCCCCTGACCCCCGCCCGGGCCCAGAACTCGTAGATGGAGAGGAGGAATATGAAGTGGAAAAAATACTGGACTCTAAGTGGTTACGCCGGAAGCTCTGGTATTTAGTAAAGTTCGCGGGTTGGCCGAACTCAGAGAATGAATGGCTCCCCCGAGACCAACTAATCCATGCCCCTGACCGGATCGAGGAGTTCCACCAAACACACCCCCATGCCCCAGGAAGGGAGAGAACGAACCCCCTGGCCGCTTCGAGGCGAAGCGGCTTAAGGAGGGGGTGATGTCAGGGCACACCCGCCTGACCCGGGCCCACCCGGGCCCACCCGGCCACACCACACCCGCTCCCCGCTGTCTATCCCCCTCCCCCCTCCTTCCTCCCTCTCCTCCCCCTCTTTTCCCTTTTCTTTCCCCTTTCTTTATTTCATTCTTCTCATGTTCCTCTTCCTGTTTATTTCTTTCTATCTACACGGACCACCTTCCCTTGTATCGATGTACTATTGACCCGTCCGGCCCACACACCCCAGATGGCCTCCCGCTGTGCCCAGCACGCGCGCATGTAGCGGACGCTCTCGGGATCCCCCACGGGGACACCCGGATGCCTGCGGCTGCCTCCGAGGATGACGTGGCACCTGTCATGTGACTCAAGCCGCATGTACATAAATGTACCTGAAGTGGGAACCGAAGAAGTAACCTTCTTCTCACATTCTCCACTTCAGGTAAGTAGTATAGTTTTCCTCTTTAATAATAATAACACATTCTCCACTTCAGTCTGAGTGGCCAGGGACCACTGTCCCAGATCGGGCCCGCCAGTACGCACGCCCGCTCCACACCCCGCGACGGCCTCAGTGCCGGGCATTACCCCCGGGCCCTCTCGACCCCGGACGCGTCCCTGACAAAGGTCCGGAGTAAGTCCGGAAAGTCCGAACTCGGAGGTTAAACTCCGGAATATTGGCAAAGGTAATTAAATGGAATGAGCTAACCAATACAATGGGTATAAGCGGAGGTGGGGTCAAAGTCCGAGGTCGGAGCTAAGACCGGAGGTTCCGGAGACGAGACGTGAACGGGATACCGGAGCGGAGGTCCGGAGTCGGGAGCATAGGTTTTGCGTACTCGTCTGGAAGGTGTCGAGGTTGGGGTCGGACCCGGAATGTTCCGGAGTCGGACCGAAGGTGGTGTCCGAGCCGGAGGTGGGATAACCTCTTGGGAGTCGGCAAGGAGAAAGTGACGGAAGGGAAGTAGGACTCCGGAAGTCGGAGTTCGGAGTTCCGGGAGCCCGGAGCGTAGGTCGGGATTGTATGGATATGACACCTTTCCCACACCTCACTTATGATTATCTGAATGAATAGCTATCTTTTCATGTCGTCATTCTATCGGTTATCTTCTATCTCGTTGTAGCCACGCTCTAGGTAGTGGTACCCATGTATATAACTCCTATCTCTGCTGAGGGTGGCACCTCAGCGTTAACAATGACTAGGATTCTCGGGAACACCCTCTTTGTCATGAACTGACATGCAGTCCCTGACACAAAAATACTTCAAGCTTAGCATCAACGAGACAGAATTCTCGGGGGAATTTATAGCAAATATTAAACCAAGAATTAGGACAATCGACCAAGATTTGACTATAAAAACAGCCAGAGAACCTCCACGGAAACTACTTTCCTATGTCCGCACATGTAGCCGAGGATGGAAGTACCACGGAACAAGGATTCCTCAGGAACTAATGCAAAATTTAAAGTCGTGTTTATAATAGGAAATGTAGATGTCTCCCAAACGGACCCAATGAAAGTAATTACAGGGAAAACTACCCATAAACGACGGAGATATGACTAAAACTCCCGGAAAACAAGGACAACGTTTAAAAAGCAAGCACGAAGAACAACCAGTAACGACCGAGACGAGCTTGATAGCCCATTAGAAAGGAAGGGATCTAATCTTAATCCACCCAAATTTTCATAATAAAAGGATCACGCATTAATGAGATATCCAATAATGGGAATAGCGACATCAAAAGTCCAGGCTTAGGGAAAAGATGATGTTTACGTAGGATCCATAATTAAAACATACAACGAAATTTACACGGAAATTATGAAAAATAGGGAACTATAGTTACGCCAATTTTCAGCCCAAACGGTCCAGTCGTTGTGAAGTTATACCAATGATGGGAATATAGAAATCTGCATCATGTTTAATGACACGTGAGGGTGGCAATGCGCAGGGAACTGGCCGTCGGAACCGAGATCCGCACTTCAGCAGATCGCGAAGACCAATTTCCATCCAAATAAGGAAGAGCCCGGTCAAAACAAAGCATGGAAAGTGCAAAACAACCTTAGATCATGAGGGAAAAATCTGAAATAAATCATGGAAGCCCATATGAAGGATACAAACACCTGCGCATACCATAAACCCCAAACAATTAAACAGAAACGGCACCCGCATACAAATGACTATGGGAACGATGCATGTGATTACTGAATGTGCGTGCGAACTTTTGCTAACTCGGCAAATACCAGGAAATAGAACACAACTTTAGTACCATTGGAAAGGTGGGAATAAATAAAAATTTATGATACCAAGAACGTGAAAAACCATCCAGAAATGAATGAGATACAAGGACATGAAGTTAGAAACCTGAAAAACGCGTGGGAAGACAGCTTCAAGAGGTCCAGAGCCCTAAATAAAATAGATAAAAATATGATATCTTCAAGGACGACCTACTATAACAACGAACAATACATATGGAGGATTAGGATGTGATAATACAAAGGGGAATCAGGGGAGATGAACGAAATCCACGAAAACCACTAAACTACGATGGACCATGGCAGGAATTTTGGGGAACAATATTCTAATGAAGTGGAGAGCTATAATACATTCGTTTGAGTAATTCTTGACTACTAGCAACCTTTTCTTTTGGTTCTAAACCTGAATAATTCACTCATTTACCATTTCAAGTCTCATTTTAACTAAATGTCGCTGGAAAAAAATGGAATAAATCAGCTGAAGGTCTCAGTGCAACCGTACACATAGTAATGCGAAGTTTGAATTCAGAATCACCGAGTCATAGCAAATTTCATGGTAAATATGAGGAATTTGAAATAGGAAACTGCAACAAATGCAGCACAGTCAAGTTCTAATTAACCATTAAAATAGTTTAGGTGAGGAAGGACAATAAGGATTCTAGGCGCAGTCTGACCGCAGTAGAGCCGCAGTTCAGCACAGCAGAGTGCAGTAGAACTATAGCGTGAAAATTTCATTTTTTATTCAGTTTGAGAAAAATACACTGTAAATAAATCCTGTAAATACAAGGTAGAGCGTGAAAAAGGAAGGCGACCCAAGGAGTATAAAAGGGAGACCCTTTCTGGGACTTTTTGCCCCCCTCAGAGAAGTAAGAAAATAGAGTATTATTTTTCTCAAGCATTTCTGGTTGTCACTCCAGCACGAAAAAGTGATATACAGTTAAGATTGCCACTGTAGTAAAAGGCAGCAATTAAGGAGAGAAACATTAAGCAGATATTTCAACAGGAGAGCTGGTTAACACTCCAGATTTCAAAGTGTAAACACAAAACAGTTATTTTGCTACTGTTAAAACAAGCAATAAAATAAGACAAAAATAAAACAAATTCAAGGGACACTCCAGACACAATCCAAATCCATTAACTGAGTAGAATCTTTGAAACTTCACCAAGTAGAAGATTTAATTCAAGTTAAATTCCAAATTAAACAACGCTACACAGAATTACACCTAGACAAATTAAGAAATTTCAATAAAAGAACAGCTCTGCAGGGCTCAGTTTATCTGTAAGTCAATTCCCAGAAACCTTTAGACTAACCCATAAAAATAGAATTAGCCAAAACACTCGGATTGGTACTATAAATACAACAAATATTACTAGTACACTTCCCCATCCTAACTAAAGAACCAGGGAACAGCTTGGTGGTGGTCTCGTTTGAACCTCCCAACTGACCTTCCTTCGTTCTCTCCTTCAGCATACCAAACATATGTGGCAGTGTGTGATGCTGCACAATTGACGTTCATCATATACAGTCCACATTCTTCTGAGGGGGATTCCGCTTGTGCTGCTGAGCCAGTTCATGAGCTAGTTAAGTACCCCAGTTCTGCCTTAGTCACATTGACAGACAGGTTATCACTTCCCAACCGGCGTGTTCCTATTGGGTGCCAGGGTGTCACTTGCATGCTAACCTAGTGTGCACTGATGTAATGCACCACTTACCATCTCTCCTGAGTCACCTTTTTTTCCCAGCTCATGGGACAAGCAATTTGCCCAATCGTGCTAACCCAGTGTGCATTCACGTAATACTGCACCTCCTTATACTCAGATAGTGGTGATTTCCACGCTGTGAAAGCAGTTTCTCGGAAGGCACAGTGGTAATACATCTTCTGAACTCAATATTTCAATTGCTTTTCACCAGCCCATTGTGACCACACAATTTCTTTCTTTCCATGAATCATAACATTGATTGCTTTACAGAGTGAGCATTGAAATGGCCAGCACCATCTTGTGAAGCAAAACCTGCAGTGAAACCTACCAAGCAAAGCCATGGCATCAAAACACCACCCAACCTTGATTGCCATTGTTTGCAGCGAGGCTGGTTGGGACGCTTTCCCTAACCCCTTGGTCAACCCCAGAGCAACGTAATGAGGAAAATTGATGCACATTTCCCCTCCATCCCCATGCGTATCCTCCACCCCACCCCACCCATGTACAACACTTCAACCACTGCCTTTCCTTTCACTCCGTTCAAAGTCACATTGTCCTTCAGGGTGCCATCCAAGGCTGCCTCTTTTTTGGCCATGTGGCTGGTGAAGAATGGATGACGTTTGGGGAGCAGCTCCGGACTCTCTTCTTCTGCAGGTCGTTTTTTGGAACCTGAAGGAAGGTTAATCAGTTCTTCACGAAGCAGATTAGTCTGGCCAGCCATCTGCAGAGCCGTCCAATGTAGTTGGAACAAGTGAATTTCACCTCTCAGTGTATTACATGCACGCATGCTGTCCATCCACAGAGCCCATTTGTCACCCATGAATGATGTCGAGGGATTGTGTACATACAAATGCAAGGAAGCGGTGCCAATTACAGCCACCCCTTCTCTGAAGAACAACTCCATTGCCTCGCACGGAACATCTAATCCTTGGTCATCGAATGCTTTCAGGTCGATGTGATACTTAAACCTCTTTCTGGACAGAAGGGCTGGGAGTGCACGATGAAAATGGGAGTCAGGGTCCCGGTCCAGGTGCAAGAACACAGAAGGCATACCACCCTCTTCCATCAAGCCAGTGGCCTCTGGCGTGGGTTCCACTGGCCAAGGGAGCAGTTAAACACAGAATGGACGCTGGCACCGACCTGCTTACTGTTTTCAAGAGAGAGACACATCTTGATTTTCTTGTTCTCCTTTGGACCCACCCCTCAGCTCTCCATGAACATCAGGTGCACTATTCACAAGTAAGGGGAGTTGCGATTGTCGATATAAGTTCAGCCATATTCATTTTCATGAACTTCCACCATGTCCTCTGAGATGTAGATGAGGATAGAGGGCCAGGGCAATGAACAAACATTGTAACACACCTTCACAATGGTGACCAAGTCCGGATGCGTTTTTGAGGCAATTTAAGGCATGCAGTTGGAGTACAAACAGTTTTTTCACTTCGGGTGGAGCCGTTGGAGGCATTCCCACCTGGATTGAGTAACATCTGAAAAGTGTAATATCTCCCATGGGTTTTCATGGGTTTTCATGGGCTTTCATGGGGGGCCATGAACACCCATGGACACCCATGGAAGCCCATGAAAGCCCATGTACAACATTTTCTTCCAATTTCTGTGAAATTCCATGGGTACCATGAATGTTCATGGATGTTTATGGAGGTCCACAGAAGTCCATGACAGTGCATGAACAACAACATACTTGTCAGGACTCAGCCCTCATTCAGGGGCAGCCTGACCTCAGAGTTGGGTGTGTGCAGTGTTCTGGGCAGTGGGGCACTAGATCCTGCCTGTAGTTCCTCAAACTCACTGAGGGGGCTAAGTGGGGAGTTAGTTGAGAAGAAGGGTGAGTTTCCCTATCCCTGATAAGCTACTATAAAAGGAAGTGGACTGTGCCAGTTTATAGTGTGACTGCAGGCAGAAGCCAGGCACATTCCCACAGCTTGGAAAGGGTGTCACATGGGTCTGTATGTGGGCTCCTGGTTGTAAATACACATGGAAAAATAGGGAAAAATGGGGAGAGACTGGGGGAGGGGTTTCAGGGTTGTATGTTCAGGTGAGGTGCCCTGACAATACTATAGCAAGTGAAAATATCAGTTGAAATTGCAGGACTCAGAGACCCATGGGGACCCAACCAAAAGCCTTTATACATATGTCTTCACAGGTGTCATATCCATCCTCTTCCACCACCTTCTGTCACCTCCAGCCATCCCTGATTACCTCTGCTCCACTCATACCAACCTCAGAGTCACCACCCCCCCATTTCCATATATTACTTACACCTCCCTAAGTACAGAACCCCAAAGGCCTCCAGACAGCTCCAATGTCCACAAGTGCACCCCTGACTCCATTGGGCCATTTAGTTGCCTGCCCTGCAAGTCTGCCTTTGGACCCCCCTCTCCATTCTCCTTTTGGGTTGTTGTCTGTTAAACCTGTAACCCAAGTTGCCAGTAATATTCAGTTGACTAACCCTTGACCCTGTTATGTCAGCTCCACCTGGTTCCTGCCATTTATGGGCCCTCTGCCTAGACTTCCCATGTATCTGCAAATTAGGGCCCCAACATGCTACTGGGCAGTCTTTGACAACAGGAGTCTGTATAAATGTTAGAACTGTAGGGCTGAATTGGTCCATTTCCATAGGTTTTGGGTGCAGCATAGGGGGTCAGCATAGGGATGATTCTACAGATAATGTGGCAGAGGTTGTGAGAGCTGGGTTTACAATAACATGGTTGGGTCAGGTTTTGTGTGATGATAGTTGTTGGATACTAACTATTTACATGGCATGGGATACTGTACTCCACAGAGCCTGTAAGAGGCTAAAAATGGGAAAATCCCATTTCTATAATAATAAATATGGACTTTGATTTTTGTGCCACAACTGCAAGTGTCCACTGAATATGTTGGTGTGCTTGTTTAAGCACTGGTGTAGCCTGTTAGAATGGGCAGATTCGGATGACTCCGGAGTGGAATCGGAGACTTAGCGTGGAAGGACCTCAGCCTCAGTGACTCAGGCAGAGCGCTGTGCCATTGCTGGTTGTCCTAGGGGTCCCTAATTTCGGATCTAGCAGAGGGAAAGTCTCTTGGGGGCATTTCAGGTCGATTTCAGACTGAGGTTACAAGTTACTATGTACATTGTATATAAGGAGGGGTCCGGAATCAAAAGGAGCAAGGGTACTCCGAAAGGAGACAAAGGGAGCTGAAAGGAGGGACAACACCGAGGGTCAAGGGTTTGACTCAATGGTGTTTCCCAAAGGAGTGAAGGGCCAAGGCCCAAGGAGGAAGGAGGGAGGATGGGAGTGGGGAATGGCCAGCTGACTGAATAGAAAGGAAGCAGCAGCCCAAATAGGAATGAGGGAGTATAGTGGAATTGAATGGAGCAATGCAATAGTTGCAAGGTCCGGCATAAGTCCAGAAAGTCCGAACTCGGAAGTTAAACTCCGGAATATTGGCAAATGTAATTAAATGGAATGAGCTAACCAATACAATGGGTATAAGCGGAGGTGGGGTCAAAGTCCGAGGTCGGAGCTAAGACTGGAGGTTCCGGAGACAGAGATGTGAACGGGATTCCGGAGTGGAGGTCCGGAGTCAGGAGCATAGGTGTTGCATGCTCATCTGGAAGGTGTCAAGGTTGAGGTCAGACCTGGAATGTTCCAGAGTCGGACCGAAGGTGGTGTCAGAGCCGGAGGTGGGATAACCTCTTGGGAGTCGGCAAGGAGAAGGTGATGGAAGGGAAGTAGGGCCCTGGAAGTCAGTTTTGGAGTTCTGGGAGCCCGGAGCAGAGGTTGGAATTGTATGGATATGACATAGCCTCACACTCCCAGTCCATCAGTACATGCCATAATGAGGCTACATATATGGTTGTCAGGGGACGACTCCCAGGTCCCCATGACCCTCCCCTATGGTCCACAGCCTACTGGTGTAACCAGCCCTATCCAGGGCACAACCTACTGTGGGTAAGGAGATGAGAAGGAAGCTAACTTCTCATCTTCCCACAGTGGCCGCAATATCAGCAAAACTTCCGGGGATACCCGGAAGTCACATGAAGGGGTAGGGACCGGGCCCGGAGTATGCAGCATGTGGAGCATGCGCACATGTGGGAAGCATGGCGGGTGGAAGCGGGTATGGATGCAGGTCCGGGTCCGGGCTAGTCAGGGTGTGTGCCCTGACAATGGTTAAGGGTGGGGAATACAATCCTTACAACCAATCACAGGTGCATCATACATGTGAGGAGCCCAGGTGTCATATCCATACAATCCCGACCTCCACTCCAGGCTCCCAGAACTCCAAAACCAACTCCGGAGCCCTACTTCCCTTCCGTCACCTTCTCCTTGCCGACTCCCAAGAGGTTATTCCACCTCTGGCTCCGACACCACCTTTGGTCCGACTCTGGAACATCCTGGGTCCGACCTCAACCTCGACACCTTCCAGATGAGTACGCAACACCTATGCTCCCAACTCCGGACCTCCGCTCCAGAATCCTGTTCACATCTCCATCTCCGGAACTTCCGGTCTTAGCTCCGACCTTGGACTTTGACCCCACCTCCACTTATACCCATTGTATTGGTTAGCTCATTCCATTTAATTACGTTTGCCAATATTATGGAGTTTAACTTCTGAGTTTGGACTTTCCAGACTTACCTCGGACCTTGCAACTATTGCATTGTCCTATTCAATTCTGCTATTCTCCCTCATTCCTATTTGGGCTGCTGCTTCCTTTCTATTCAGTCAGCTGGCCATTCCCCACTCCCATCCTCCTTCCTTCCTCCTTGGGCCTTGGTCCTTCATTCCTCCTTTGGGAAACGCCATTGAGTCAAACCCTTGACCCTCGGTGTTGTTCCTCCTTCCAGCTCCCTTTGTCTGCTTTCGGAGTACCCTTGCTCCTTTTGATTCTGGACCCCTCCTTATATACAATGTACATAGTAACTTGTAACCTCAGTCTGAAATCGACCTGAAATGCCCCCAAGAGACTTCCCCTCTGCTAGATCCAAAATTAGGGACCCCCAGGACAACCAGCAATGGCACAGCGCTCTGCCTGAGTCACTGAGGCCGAGGTCCTTCCACGCTAAGTCTCCGATTCCACTCCGGAGTCGTCCAAATCCACCCGTTCTAACACCAGGGAAAAACATGCATACATCTCCATCAGTTTTGATCACAGCAAAATTTATGTAAATAGTATTGGTGAATATAGACATGTCAGTGCTACCTGTCTTCAGTAACTTTCATCATTAATTATGGCAATATTTGCTTCACACTTGATTGAACAATGGAAACCCCCCCCTCTGCTCTGACCATCTGCACATCACTGTGGCAGCATTGAGTGTCAAATCCTTGTAACAGAGCAAAATAATGAGCACATAGAAGCTGTTACATAAATGGCCTTTGGGAGTTCATGAGCATCCATGGGTGTCCATGAGCACCCATGGGTACCCATGGGAGTCCATGAATATCCATGGGATTCCATGAACATCCACAGAAGCCCATGACCACCCATGGGAGGCTGTAAAAGTCATGTAATTTGTCAGAAAATCCATGAAAATCCATGAATTTTCATGAATTTTCAACAAATCCCATGGAATCCCATGAATTTTCATGAATTTTCATGAAATTCCATGGAGCCCATGGAGCATCTATCACTTTTCACGAGTTACTGCCTGGATTTGATACTTGGTCCCATTCACTTTCATGCGCTGCCCTACATTGTAAGTGATGCAACAGAGGATGTAAGTGGGGAACAACGACACACTCCTTGTTCATGCCATGCATTGAATGGGGCCACACCCTGATTACCGTAAGGTCCAACGTCAGCCATGGTGATAACTGTCATATCCCGGAATCCTGACCCCACACACTCCCACCACACCACACCTTCCTAACAACTTCACCATCCCCTACACCATGCCTCCCCAGTCCCCAAGTCACCTTCCTTCCTGACTGTCTCAGCTCCGGTCTGGTTGTGGCACACCGAACCTTGGCCACTCCCATCCCAGAAGCTTGGTCCCGAGTCGGAACATTCGGAGACTCCGGATTTGCTCCGATATCCCAACAGACCTCCGACATCCCGTGACATACCCTTAAACCATTTCTCCACCCATTTCATTTATTGGAGTCACCCAACATCCTTCGGATACGCAACTCCACTTTCAGAGCTACCCACATCCTTTGGTGACCTCACTCACGTCATCACTTATTAGTCACCTTCCATTCTTAGCACGACTATCTTCTTCTTCCCATTCAGTTGGCTAACCCCCCTTACCCATTTCTCGTTCCCATTCATTTTCCGGCCTCTTACTCCGCCCTCCTCGATCTGACACCTCGGTTCCCCATTAAAGATATTGTTTGGGACCTTTCAGTACCTCTCGGTATCATTCGGCACCTTTTGGTGTTCTTCTATTATCATTCAGACTTTGACTAAGTCCTTTCCATTCCCCCTTATAAATACCTGTAGATTAGAACCTGTAGTTCCTCAGTTCTAATCTCGACTAAAATGCTACCCAAAGTCCCTCTGAGTGAATCCCATTCCCCTTCTACAAGATACCTCAGACATAAGAAATACAAGGACTAACTGAGACGTAACAGAGGCACAGCGCTCCCTCCGAGTCGCTGAGGCCGCATCCCTCTTAGAGCCTCTTGTACCATCCAGCAGAACCGGGCCTGGAGAAGCTTCAGTCCACTACCGGAGCTCTCAGACTCCCCTCTAGTTGAGCCCTGCCTGCATTCAAACTCACGCATTATCCCTACAATCCGGGTTTTTGACAATAACTCCAAAAAAGCTGAATTTGGCCAGTGTGTTCGCACCATCATGCCTAATCCAAGTTCCACATATCGACTGACCATTTGATGCTGCTGCACTGCAGTAGGAGACAGAGCCAGGGTCAGTCGACCCCAAGAAGTTAGCACAGTCCACGTGAGCAACAATACAAGTGATGATGGAAGGATCCATAACTGAGGGCCCCATTCCTCGAGAATGATCTCTCCCCTCCTGCTCTTTATTAGCGACATCCAGTTGCGCATGCCAACCAGAGCATCACAAGTTTACACCCAAGGTGGGTCCAGAACGTCAGGCATGACATGCCTGGTGACAGCTGAGTTTATTGCCATCCAGGTTACACATGCACTAGGTTACAGCCTGATAACAGGATACAGAGCCAGTTGAGATGTTTGTGACATAATCAATCAGACCAGGTTGTTCAGGGTGCCAGAGTGAGATGCAAAGCGAGTGGGTTACCAGGGACGGGTTTGGTTGGGTTACAGGACCTGATGGCGGACCCCCATGCCGATGATCTGGGTCCAAGATGTTGTGCACGGCTGCCATGGAAGCTCAGAAGGACATGAGTTTTGAACACATTTTCCAGGTTCGCTGTGAAGGCGAGGTTGAGGCCCATTCATCTGAAAGCCCAGCCCTCCAACCTATCTCAATGCCGTCCAATGGGAGATGGTGTCATGACCGACAAATCCCGGGGCTCCGTCAGCGGCGAACCAATGCCGATAGGCGAATCCGCCGACCCGAAACCCATCCTAACCAGCCCCCAACCCCATGTCTGGCCCCCTGCCTTACTGCGTGAGACTTGGCCAAGAATCAGAACCTAGACCCTGCCGGTATTCCGACCTTACCTCCAGTTCCTGAGCCCTTGGCACTCCCGGCATTCAGTCACGCCTGCCTTGTCTCCATCTGAACCACACTCATCGCTTCCCGCTATGTGGTCACAGCCATGCCCCGCTTCCGTCCACTCCGCACCCTCTGCCCACTCCGCACCCTCTGCCCACTCCGCACCCTCTGCCCACTCCGCACCCTCTGCCCATCTCTGCACCTTCTGGCCACTTCTGGTTGCCCTTGACACCTCTGGTCAGGTCAACACTCCCACTCCCCTCTGTACCTCTGTTGGCCTTCATGCTGTCCTTGTGTGACAGTGCTGGCAGATCAACTTCTGTTCGCGGACTTGTGTCGGCACCGCACCGACCCCGCTTATTTGCGGACTTGTATCAGCGCCGCACGCTGACCTCCGCTTTTCCTCTGGCCATTTGTCACTTGGCAGCTTATCATTCATTCCTTGCCGAGTGCCATTTATTGTTTGCTTCCCTGCCAATATCGGCATTTGATCCCCTCTTTATTGGCACTAGGTTATTGATCTCATTCAGTTATTCATCAATAACCCTTGCCACTTATTGTTTAGTGATCTGTTCCTCCTTTCCAGTTCCCGGGCTCTTGTCCTTATTTAGTTTGACAATCCCCGCTTATCTCCGCGCCGGACCACGCCGGACTGACCGGCCTTTCTATATTCCCTCTTGCCTATTTATATACCTTGTAAATACTTTTGGGGACCTCAGTCTGAAATCAACTAGAGTACCCCCCCTGTCTGGTCTGAGTCTCTCCTTCTGCAAAGGGGGCTTCCCCCCTCTGAGTCCGTGCTTGCGGAGTCTGTGCTCCTCCTACAGGTCCGCTCCGCCCACAAGTCTGGTTTGAAGTCCGCTGTAAGTGTCAGTTTGTAAATACGGGATCTCCCCCAAACGTCAAGCTCAGGGCACAGCGCTCCACCTGAGTCGCTGAGGCCGCGATCTGTCAGGGACAGCTCCAAAAGCGGCGAGGTCCCGGCGTGCGGGACTCGGTGGGACGGATGACGGCTATGCATAGCGGCGATCCCGTCGCGGGTTGAGCGTCCCCGACCACTTAGTCTGAAGTGGAAATGTGAGTCATCATTAAAGGGGAATGCTACACTACTTGCCTGAAGTGGAAATGTGAGAAGAAGGCTACTTCTTCGGTTCCCACTCCAGCTGTTATTATATACATGCGGGAATGATCACGTGGGGTGCGCCACGTCACCCTTGCACACAGCCACGGCTCTCCGGGTGCTTCCACGGAAGATCCCGAGAGGGCCCGCTGAGGGTGCAAGGCGAGCGCGGCGGCGGTGGCGGCAGTGTAGGGATGTAAGATACAGGAGGGGAGATGGGCGTGTGTGCCGATGATACATTGAGCAGAGAGAAAGGTGGTCCGTGTAAGAGAAAGAGAGAAAGAAAGAAAAGAGGAAAGGAGAACAGGAGGAAGGAAGAGGGAGAGGAGGGAGAGGCGGTGCGGAGCGGGGAGGCGGAGCGGGGATCGGGCGGGGCGTGTCGGGGCATGCCCTGACACGATCCCACTCTGCTAACCTTGAACAGTGCTTCCAGACGCACCGCATATTTCCGCCCGCATATCCGCGCGCGCGCTCCAACAGACCTCTGCCACAATCTCCGACACCGACAATATTCCTCACTCTGACAATATCCCAGCCTCTGACAAAATCCAGTCTCTGACAGATGGGATCATCCACATAAGCAAATTTGTTGGGGAGGGACTAGACTGGACCATGACGTTTTTGACCTGGGCATGTTATCAGTGTGGGTATAGGAATGGCTCTGAAAGCTCGGACGTACCACCTGAGGCAGCACCCTTCAACAGTACCACTTTACAGGCTGCAGCCTCCAGATGCTGGAAGCACTGACTTGTGCTTCGTAGGATGGTATCACACTCCAAAATTTTGAGTCTAGCAGGTTCCTTATGTAGATCTTCTGACATGTGAGCCATTATTTGATTCGCTCTGAATGGTCTGAGGAGCAATAGGTTCTGTAGAGATGTGGCACAGGAGAGCATGATGTAAGCAGACTGAATGGAACGAGAACTTTCCAAATCCACAATCACTTTCAGCAGTGTTCTTCCTTGACATTTGTAGTCGGTGATCGCCAATGCAGGTAGTAATGGCAGTTGCAGTCACTTCACCATCAGAGTGCGGTTTGATATTGGATGGGTGACTTTAATTGAGATTGGCTTTGGCAGAATGACGCAGTCATGTGGCGGAAGATCCAAGAATGCAAGTGGAGCGGAGTCAGGAATCGTGACTACAGCACTTCTGGCAAGGGCATGATGAGCCTTATCATTTTCATATCTGATATGTTTTAAGTGTCCCTCGCTCCCATTCACTATCCTGCCCTTGACATTGAAGTTCTCCCCAACCATGACAGGCATGTCTGATACCAATGGCAGGCAACCTAACATGTAACCTGTGTTGGCCTCTGAAGTCAGCTGCATCAGCTTATCGATTAACAGCGGCTCTTTGATTGGCACATTTTTTAAGAAATGCTGAGCACCATACATCACAACAGGCCACCCATGTCAAGCAGCGAAAGTATGAACTGCTGCTTCATTCAGAGCATCTTTGACTGCATTAGATGCGGTCAGGATAGGTGTGGCCTCCCAACCGTTCTGGGAGAAATCAATGTCTTTGTTCTGCTCCAACAATCGAGTATCCAGGATGGCTTTGTCTTGTAGCGTGCAGTTGCCAAATCTCAATCTTTGTAGAATCTCTCGGAATGTGTCATTTTGAGGACCACTTTGTCGCATTGATTGTTTCAAAAAAACGACGGTGTTGACAAGGGACCACAAATGAGCACCCTTCAGTTTCTTCTGACCACGGTCGGAGAGGGAATCAGAGGAATGAAAGCTCAACATTTTTGGGGGAGTATACAGCCTCGTGTTCCCAACTGGAGGTAACTGGCAGAAGTCTCCAGCAAAGATGACATTGATCCTGCCAAATGCTTTTGTTGATTCCTTTGTGATAGAGAGGGCTGCACTGATGTCTGCAAGTAACTCACAACCGATCATGGATACTTCATCAACAAATAAGTAATCAACACCACTCCACATATGAATCAGTTTGGTGCAGCTCAGAGTTCCGTTCGCTTTCTCAATGTGGGGTAGTTGGGACAGATGTAGACTTGAATGCAAAGTGCCTCCACCGATGTTTTGTGCAGCTGCCCCTGTAAAAGCACACAACTGAAATTTGCAATCTTGATCTAGAGCATAGAAGAAAGCAGTGAGGGCTTTTATGACTTGTGATTTTCCTGTGCCTCCAGGGCCACCTAAGTACATATATAGAGGCTCCAGACCAGCATAAGTATTGTATTCAGCCACCAAGGAGAAGGCATGCATTTGCTCCACATTCAAATTGAACTCTGTGGTAATGCTCTGTGTGACTTGTGTGTAATTCAGACTGGTGCCCACAGTGGTACTCTGCACAATGTATACATCTACATTGCCCCCCATGTCATTGTCATTTGACTGGATATCCATGAATAGAGCATGTGAACTCCCATCTTCATCTCGGGGTGTAGTGCTCATCTCTATGGGGAGAGCAGACTTCAGAATTTGTTTCGCTGCCAAGTGATGGTGTTTGTAGTCTTGAGCCCATTTGAGTTCTTGAGCTCCATTGTCCTCAATGTGAGTGGCAGAGTGGTGCTCAGATGCAACGCTCGATGTGTAGGGGGTGGACACCAGCAAACCGGCCTGGCATGCATGAGAGAGAGCTGTCTGAATTTCAAGCTTCACAACAGCCTGTTTTTGCACACTCACTCGCTCTGAATCTAACAAATGGTGGAGCAGCAAACCATCATCGACATCATCCTCTGCCACTGGAGCCATGTGCAGAGCTCATTGCAAACTGTGGTTAGCGGAAGGAGTGGACGCTCGAGTTCGGTGTTTGGCATAGTCTTGGTCTCGACTGTCTTTACATTTGTGCAGCACCTGAAAGTTTTCAATCACACACTGATGATACTCAGACAGGTTGGGCAACAGTAATTGAAAAACATCTGACCATAATGCAGATTCGCCAAGGAGTTCACTGCCTAAATGCCAAGGTTTGAACAGAGTGACCATGACCATGGAATAATATTCATATACACTGGGATTGTCACGGCAGGGTATAGAAGGACCAGTGGGAACATGTCAGGGCACACCCACCTGACCCGGTTCCACCTGGGCCCACCTGGGCCCACCCGGGCCCACCCGGGCCCACCCAGGCCCACCTCACCCGCTCCCCGCTACCCACCCCTCCTCCTTCCTCCTTCCTCCCTCTTCCCCTTCTTCCCTTTCCTCCCTTTTCCCTCTTTCCTCTTTCTCCTTTATTTCATTCTCCCTTTCTGTTTATTCTTTCTATTTACATGGACCACCTTCCCTTGTATCATTGTACTGTTGACCCATCCAGCTCAGACACCCTGGATGACTTCCTGCTACGCCTAGCACGCGCGCCTGCAGTGGATGCCCTTGGGATCCCCCACGGGGATATCTGGATGGCTGCGGCTCTCTCCATAGATGACCCAAGCTGCATGTACATAAATATACCTGAAGTGGGAACTGAAGAAGTAACCTTCTTCTCACGTTTTCCACTTCAGGTAAGTAGTGTAGTTCTTCCTTTTAATAACAATTCACATTTTCCACTTCAGTCTAAGTGGCCAGGGACTACAGTCCCAGATCGGGCCCATCAGTACACGCGCCCTCTTCGCTCCCCGAGAGGGTCCCTCTGCTGGGCGCTACATCCAGGCCCCCTCCACCCCGGACACGTCCCTGACAGAACAGGAATGTAATGACAACACCTTTTGCGCAAAAAATGAGAACTGTGTTGAGGGTGGTCTGTGGCAAGAGCAGAGTGCAGGAGGTGTTGGGTGGGTTGGACTTCATCCTCATCTTCAGATTGATCATCATTGATAGTCAGCTGGCATGTTCCCAATGGAACTTTATCGATCATGGTGACAAAATCCCAGACACAGAGGGAGTCAAACACTGGAGAGTTGTCATGGCCCTGATAATCCATCAGTTGGTTGCAGCATCATTCAATTTCCCCAGTGTTGGAATTTGCCTCTAGCACAACGTCACCATCTGCAAGCTCGTCACAATCCTCATTGGTACACTGAGGATCAAATGCAGGTGAATTTTCAACATTGACATGTGGCCCATCTGTAGGCCACTGTTGTGAGTGGGAACGCTGTACGTGAGCAGTGAAAGCCATCCAAAACAGTGGTTGGAACCGATGACTCGTATAATGATCCAATTATCCTAGTAAATAAGTAGCCACTTCAGGTGCAGCAAGTTCTTGTTTGGCAATCAAAGCATTCGCGCATTTTACTAATGTACACTTAGCTCAATCCACAGCAGTGGCAGATGCATCCAAGATATCACACATTCTTTGGACAGCAGCTTGGAGTGCAGCATAAGTGACATGTGTTTTCAATGGAGTTTTAGTGATGTAGTCTGTAATATAGTAGAGGATGGCTTTAGCAGACACACCGGACCCGATAAATTTGATATCCATGTTGCAGTGCACCGCTTTTAATATAGTTTTGCAGTAATTGTTGATCATACCGTTACTGACACACATGCTGATTTCGCCTGTGCTCATGTCCATTGACGTGCAGTCTGTGTAGTTGTCTGGAGAGAGGTTAAAGCGACACTGACCATCACCACGTTTGTAACATGTAGCAGTGTGCCTATGCACTTGACACTTTTGCATGAGGTTATGAAAGTCTTTGGCCATTTGCAAATCAGTGTGTCGATCAGGATGGCATCGAAGGCTACAGGCATGAAACACATTGGAGGTGCATTCTACATCTTGGGGTGCAGGGGGGAGGTCGGTGCTAATCATGTCATCCAACCAATCTAGTAGTCTTTGGTGCCAAGGAAAGTCATGTGCTCTGAGGACATGGTCTTTGATCTGCTGCGGATTCAGTGCCCCTTCAATCCAGATGAGCATGTGACAATGGAGTGTTCCCCGACCTTGAGCCTCCACAATTCCATAATATGCGCTGCAAGGGCCGAAGATACCATTGTCACAAATGCCATCAGTCTGAGTGTGCCCTAAAATGCCTCAGATGAATGCGTGGATGATGGTTTTGAAGAAGCGAGCAGCAATGAATGGATTCTGGGTGATGGTGGTTGCCTGTTCCCAATAGGATGGAACATGGGCTGGTAAGACATCATCCAAATCAAAATTGCCACAGGATAGAAATTTGACAATGGGGCTATAAACATCAGCAGGATTAATGGTAACAAAGAAACTGGGTGGACCATGATCAAAGATGAGAGCCCAGATCTCATTTCGCATTTGAGTGCAAGCAGCATGCAAACTCAGCACTTTTGTGCTGATTACAGCCACATCCTGCAGGAGCTTCCTGGCAGTCCACTCTGTGGGAGTGTTCGCTGTTGTATAATCATTTCAAGACAATCTGTCAAGGATGACGTTGAAAGTGTCGATGGGTAGGTTAACAATTGTATTGGCTACCCTTTCAAAGGATGCATAACTCGTTTTCAGTTTGCAGTGTAGTGATGTTCTTTGACGCTGAATAATATTGAAAATCACGAACAAGAAGGAATAGTGCTCTTGAAACCGGCGATCAGCCAGTGAGAATAAATGAGCTGCCATTTTTTTTCGGAGGCAACGTAAGTTGCAGCTAAACCTCGGAGAAATCATGTGAGCGACTGGGAGTCTGGGTTTCTATGGCCTTCTTATTGTGATCAGGTGAGGAGTAATAGGTGCACAAAAAGTGTGAATTTCGGAAGCAAATGGCTGTGTACATTCAGGGAAGTAACCGCAAGACACTAAGAACCACCACCATAATCATCATATTAATTTGACATGATGGTTGAGGTTGTGGTCGACTTAATCTGAATGAGGAATAAGCGTTAGTCGGACAAGTAATGGAAAGGCGATAAATTGAAGGGAGAGATGGAAAGATTAGGGAACAACTTGGAACGAAAAATATCCATATTGATCCGACGACGACAGGTAACATTTGTGCGAAACAATGAGTATAAGAAACCACGGAGTGGTCTAAAGAGAAACAGCGATGGGCCTGGGATTTGCATCCAGGGGCAAGAGAGGCGCCAAAAACAGCTGCCTTGGCCTCTATGGACCAAATATCCAACAGAGCACACATCGCGAACTGCCGCTCTAGGCGATCAACTCCTTAAACCTGGAGACCAGCCCCTTATTTTCCCCTCCGCCTTCTGCATTGGCGTCGATGGAAGTGAGAGACGAGACGATATGGTGCTCGGGGGAGTCAGGAAGACGATCTTCATGATGTTGCTCACCGTTCGCAGCGACCGTAACCTCTCCCTCAGGCTGCTGTTTCTCGGGCGCCTTCTCCTGCTTGCGGCTTAATTTACGTTGTAACCCCCCTTCCGATGGGCCCGCATTCGCGCTAGAGCGGTCCTCTGTGAGACCTTTCTTCTCAACCTACGCCAAAAGTGGGAAGAAATCATTTTGGGCTCTCCGAATCTGAAATGCAAGAACGAACCACGTAACCATCTGGCCCTATCTCAATTCCTGAATCCTTTGCAGGTATGGTATACGCAGGGACAACCTCATCGTGCGCTAAGTGATCCGGCGCAGCCACGTACCTGCTCTCATCTTCCTCTTCTTCCTCTTCTTCAATGCTACTGCCTTCCTCCTCATCTTCCTCATCCTCGCTGGCATACCCAGCGCTTCTAACAGCGGCCGCAACGGGCCCACTCCTATCGATTGCCTCGCTAGCGACAAGGTACCTAGCGACAAGCATGCGGAGGTCGTTCCACCATTCCATCATGTCTTCGTGGGAACGGGCACGGAATGTGTACGCATGAGGGGCTCGTTTTCCAAGAATAGAGCCTTTACGCTCAAGGCCACTCGCATCTTTCTTACCCTCGATGTGGAACTTGTGCGATCGCGCAGTGGAGGCACTGCTGGGAGGACCAAGAGTGCAGGCAGGCAAGAAGAGGGAAAAACTGGGCAGATTCTGCGCAAGGGGATCAGACGATGTGTATTCGTGAAGATACCCAGCGGGCGTAAGAACAAAGTAGGCTTCCTTGTAGGCGCGCGTAAAGCGGCGCTTGCGCTCAAGGAGCCCTACATGCACGGGGACAACGGATGGGTCCTCTTTCGAGGGAAACTCAATATGCTCTGGGTTACGGAGAGGAGTGTCAGGATCCAGGAGATGATCCGAGCGAGCTGCGAAAGCTATCCATTCACGATCGGGTGAGATAGTGGCAAACGATTGACCAAGGGCACGCCACGAATCCTGAACAGAGGAGGACATGCGGGATCGCCATTCCTCGAAAGTCTGCCAAGCTGACTGCAGTGAGCGGACAATACCCTCTTCAAAGTGAGCGCTATTTTGCTGCATGATAATAATTGACTTCTGGAGGGCATTTTCTTCATTGACCTGCGGGGCGCGAGCACCCAGGGATTGAGAAACAGGGTTTTAAGGGTTTGGCATGAGGAAAAGAGCGACTGACCTGCTTTTGGAGTTGCCTCAAAACGAGTTGGTTCATCACATAAGGGTCTTCTTTAGCATGCACAGACATGGGCGTGTTCTTGTACAGTGAAATTGCCCGAGAGAGATCGGTAACGGCCTTGGTAGAAAGTTCACGCTCTTTGGCAACACTCGCAGCGAGCTTTCCAGTGTCGTTCTGAACATTCTTCACATGGGCCTTGATCTCAAAGTGAAGTTTCTGAAGGTGCTGCACGATAGAGCCCTCGATGGTCTTCCCAAGATTAGCATGGTGATCGGCGATAATTCGAGTTTTGTCACGAATGTTGTAATAGACATCCTGTAAACCGTCCTCGCCGAGAAATTGATTGCCGGCACGGAAGGGAACTTGAATGACGGCGCCAAGCTTAGTTAGCTCTTTGGCGGTATTGTTTTCGATGTCAGCGATGCCTTCAAAGTAGGCGATGAGCTGTTTCGTGATGGCCTTCCACGCTGTGAAGCTGGGATGTCACATCAGCATCAATGATCTTGGGCCAACAAATAGAGAAGCCGTGAGAGGAAAACTCACCGCTCAATGAGGACATCGCTCGGGCGAAGGTCATGAGGCGTGGTGTTCTTCTTTATGAGTGCCTGATTCCTGGACATCGTGGAACGGCGAGAGACTGAGGTGGCCCTCGAGATGGAGACGCCATCGTCACCACCACGGATGATGGAGTCGGCACGATGGTGGTTATGAATAGACATAATTAAGGCCTTCTAGTGGATAGACGCTGCGAAAGATGTAGAAAGGGAGAAGGGAAGAGGCAGCGGGTTTTTGTTCACCTGATGGAGCTCACTCAACCGGGGAATGCGGGGGGGTGACGTCGTCTTTCGTCGATTCAAATACCGTGGGAATACCTTGAGCCAACTTCGGCTTTACTCCAAGACACCTCGTCTAACCTCGTTTTTCATTCGCGATCCCTACGACTACCGACTATGTTGTTTGACTTGGCGGGTGGTGGTGCGCCGTGCATTTTTGGAAAAAATTCATACGTGCGAGGATCAATTTGATCAAGAGTTGACGGTCTTAGGGTCAGACATCCCGCTTGACTTTATCTCAGCCCGACACCTATCGATGCAGCCGACCCGAAACCTGCCAAGTCAGCCTATGATGAATGAGAATGTGGTCATTTGTGGTGTGTGACTACTCTGCATCAACCTTTCTGCGGCACAGGACACAGGCTCCTTCCATCCCTGAGTCAGGAGGACGGCAGCATAGCTAACAAGTCTAATATCTGCATTTAATTTTATTGCTTTCAATCGAATGATTATATATTCCGTTTTGTTGCATCTACAGCGAATCTGGCAAGTCAAAGTTAGTGTCCACTGTCCAACTGCGCAACACATCCGGTGCCTCTAACGCCCCGTAGCAGGACAGCCATATATTGGTCCAAACTTTGGCTATTTTTCTGACACTCCTCGAGCCGACCGTGAGAATATCATTGGAGACACGTGATAACACAAAACGGATCAAAGGGGTAATCACTGCTCAGCCTGGACGAGGGGATATTGGGCGTCTCGGGCAGTTCAGTGTTCTTGCCGTCTTGTGGCGCGCGAGTTGATGACACTATCCTCCAAAGGGTGAGGCTGTACTTCACACGATGGGATCTGAATCGCCCTTAATCGGTATATACTATATGTGATCCTTCCCATCTTTCTCTATATCTATTACTCTTCCTTTTTCTTGTGAGTCCCATTCCCTCTTGCCTCAGTGATGCGTGCAGGTTTCCACGTTTTCTGATCCATCCGGATGAACCGAGTTCTTTAGATTCATCAACTCTCACAAACGGCTCATAACTGACCTTAGCATCTCATCACTCAGACAGCCCAACCTTTCGTCCTCCGAAGTAATCATTGTCGGATGAAACTTTTTAACACGGTAGTGCTCGGAGGCGAGTCTAAATTACTAAGGCTCTTAGTTTGGGTTTTGATTTGAGGGTCAATGATGAACCCTGGTTCCTCGATTGGACCTCGACGTCTAGCTGGTGGGGTCGGAAAATCGTCGCTCACGATACGATATATGCAGCAAGTATTTGTGGATACCTACGATCCGACTATTGAAGGTGGGTTTCGCAGCTCTCTCACCAGTCGAACGGATGCACTCACCACCAGCATGCCTCAGAGGCGTATGTGAAAAATCTCGTGGTGGATGGTGAAATGTGCCAGGTATTGTGTATTTTATCTCTCCAACCAATTGCATACTGCTAAAGTCCACATCTTGAAGCTTGAGATTCTAGATACCGCTGGTGCTGGACAATTCACAGCAATCAATGAGTTCTACACCAGAGTAAATCAGCTTGTCATCGACCTTTGGATGCATCGACAATCTTATTTTCCTTCCCAAGGGTCAATCAGGTTACATTCTTGTCTTCAGTCTCACTAGCGCCACCTCACTACGCGAAGTCGAGAGCATTCGTCAACAAATCTTCCGATCCAAGGGGCTACCGATCCCGCCTCTGTTTGACTGGTCCCTTGGCGCTCCGATGCCCACACCGCACCTTCCAGCCCCACGGAGGAAAACTCCGAGTAGCCGGCCCAATACTGCATCGAGCTCGTATGGGTCGAGCGATACCCTCCCCACGGAGAAGTTTTCGCATCGGCCATCGGTTCCCGGGGCTCATGCTGGAGCGAAGCCTAGCGCCAGTTTGTCGAGGGATGTGAGCTCATATGGGATCCCATTTATCCTGGTAGGAACCAAGTCTGATCTCGCTAGTGAACGCGAAGTCTCGAGAGACGTTCTCATGAAGTATGTGTTGGTGCAATTGGACCGTGGGAAGCATGCTCAGTTATGTCTTTTTGCAGAGTTGCCACCTTATGGCGTTGCCCCTGTTATGAGACGAGTGCAAAGAAGGATTGGAACGTGCAAGAGGTTTTCATGGTATGCTCCCACCACTGAGGCTCAACCTGATGCCGACAGTGATGCCAGATTTGAACTAGGACATCGCTCGGCAAATGAAAAATACATTTCCCTATGGCTCAAATGCACCCCTGGAGCCAGTTGTTCCAGTCAAAAAGAAGAAGAGACATTTTGGATGCATCATCCAATAGACAACTGGTCTTCGTTGACATCTTCTACACTGCATCGAATAATTTCCGTCGTTGCGTGTGGACGTACCATACTAGCGCTCGAAACATCCGATGGTGTTTCCTTTACCGTTTGCGCAACACCATTGACCATCCCGTCATCACTTTAGAGCTTCGCTTGCGCCAACCTCCCTCAGCCTCGTTTCCACCCGCTCAGCAAAAGAGCCGCATACCCTTCGCACAATCTGTATTAACACCTACCATCGATCACTTTACACTCCTAAAAAGTCTCAATACCCCTCTGGCGTTGCCTTTTTTCTTGGAATCTTTGATGGACCAAAGCATTTTACTTTTTTTGCGCCAAAGATCGGGGCTTGGGTTGCCACTTCGCACCTTGTGTCCTGCCTGACATTAACTGGCCCTCAAGCAGGTGCATGTGCGCGTACTCTCTCCCTTCCTCCATTCGCTTTTTTTTTCGTGTCTTTCTTCAACCGTGGCTGTTTGACCACTTTTCTTTTTCTCTTGCCAGATTCTCCTTCATCCGGTTCAGAGAGAAGCGGCCGTGCCACTTTATCCTGTCTCGCTGCTTCCCACTGTCTACTGCGGCCCTGATCCGCCAAAAAAAGTGGCCTCCATGTCCCAGAGCTATCCTAACGCGCTTTGCGTTCGAATCATGACCTCACGTACGTTACGACTACGCTTTCATTACTTCATGCCTTTTTTGTGTTTCCTCCGTTGATTGTACGAACCACTGATGTAGCCATGTGTGCACGCACGGACGCTTATTTAAGGATGATTCTGTCAGTGCTAGCTTATGCAGCTTGTGCCAGCGGCAACAGGCCGAAATACTGGCGCAGGAGAACCGATGTGCATTGATTAATATACGTGACGTTTTGTCAGTGATTCGGCCCAAAATATCCGCAGGGAATTTTGGGGATTATTCCGCGAAATTTCCCACACCGGATTTCGGTTCTATCTCCTGAGGATTACTCAGGCTCCAAGCACTAAGTATTCATCCGTTACATCAATCCTATGCATCCAAATCCCGCAAATCCATGACCTGCTAATTTCCCTGCATGGTAGTCAGCGTCACCAATCCACCGTTATGTTGGAGGGCTACCGTGACTGAGCGAATCCAACAGGAACGAGATGACGGGATCAGAGATGACATATCTGAATTGAACCACCGGGTCCTGAACCGAAAAGGCAAGCATGAGGATACAATCGAGTGGCCAGAGAAAGCGCACGTAAGTGTGGGCGGGGCTTTCCAGAACCTCGACTACTATCGGTATATAGTAAGAAACCTCATATGATGCCTGACGAGTTCGCCCCACTGTAGGGATTACTCAGAACCTATATTTCCGACACTGGAAAGAAGCACAGGAACCCGCAGTGGTGATATTGCTTTTACTTATCAGTTGAACGTGGCATTAGTGTTGGTCTACAGGTGACAGCGACTGGACTACGTACAATGCCTAGAATAATCGCGCAGCCGCAATATGGCCTAGATCAGAGGGAAGCGCGTGAGCCAGTAAAATTACCTATCAAATCGCTTGCGATGAGAGCATTTATGATAACGAAATCTCCAGTCCTCGGCTCCGCTCACCCAATCCGCAGATCCGGCGTTGACGTGCGTGGTTCTGGTGGCATGTCTGGTCGGGCCACCAGATTTTTATGGTTATATTTGCCCGTCAACGACGGTATATGATTGCCAAGATCGACCCAGCCGATTCAAAATGTACCAACGTCAAGAACATTGGAGAATGCAGATGCACATGTTACGAATACAGAGCAAACACGGGCAGCATCCCAAGAAAAGATAAAGGGTCGCCGAAACTTTCGAGAAACAAACCCGGTAGATGGAGAAAAAGGGGAGGACAGCAGAGAATGAAACAGGAGTACCGTACAGCTAATAACAAATCCAGCGCTTGTCGCGAATAAGACAGGAGGTGGAATTGAAAATTGAGTGGTGGTATAGATGTACAGTGAGCCGAAACAGTTGAAGTGAATCGAGAAGAGCGCAACCGAACCGTTCGCAAAATCAAGTCGAGTCACGAGGTCTTTGTCGGAGATGCGCGGATTTTGGAAGAGAGATAAGGCCACAATGACTCGGATCACAGTACTGGCGTTTGTGGTTGTTCTCGCTCACGAGGATTGCGGTGGCTGCGCAATCAAGTAGCTATATGCTCTCCATGACAATCGGACTGGTCGGGGCAGTAGCAGTAGTCGTCTCATCGACGTAGGCTGGCACGGGTTTGCGAGTGAGGAGTGTCGATCGACGACGGGCTCCAGTGGAGGCTGGGGTGGTGGGTGACGCTGGGGACACAGCCACAGGTGATAGTGGGATGTGCGATGCGCCTGATGAAGGCGCTGAGATGTCTGTAATCAGGCGAAGGCCAAGCCTGCGAGGATTGGATTCTGCTGATGATTGAGATGCCTTTGTAGTGCCGAATGGTTCATGCGCCAGTGGGTTAATGAAGAGAAACCGAAAAGCAAATTGCAGGCACATACATCACTCAGCTTTCTGGTAACGAGTGTCTTCCACTCGACAGTGTCGATGGCTCTCAGGTTTGTTTCATTCAACTGACAGTGCTGCAAATGAATGAGTGGGCACTTTAACATCGTCGATATAGCATACCATAGAGCCAGAATCTATGTGTTGGAAGTGCACAAAGCCTGTTGGAGTCCCAATGATCGCCTAACAGCAAAGTGTCAGCGAGGGCCACTCATGCATTCAACCTTGACGTGTCACAGACCTTGTTGACCTTGCGTCGTTTGGTGAGTTGGAACGTCGGGACGCGCAGGCTCGAGAAACGCCCAGAAGGCGAAGTAGGAGTGTCGATCTTATCCTCAAAAACTCTGACGGAAGAGCAAAAAAGGAGCATGCTGAGTAGCGGAGGCCTTTGGTTTGGCTTGTGGGAGTTGAATCGGACTGAAAGTAGAAAATGAAGAGATGATTATAAGGTGAAGTACGTGTTATGTGATTGAGCTCCGCGAGTGAGAGGGTGAGTGGGGTATCTCTCGTTGAGGGGGAAGCACAGCAACCCAGTGCAAGGCATGAGGAGAATACATTGCACAGCGGGGATTTTATATTGAATCAAACAATAGAACATGAATCATCTGCTGCAATTCAGACCAGGCTAGGTTCCTTTTTAGGAAATTGCAACCGCAGTCCAGGGGTCTTTGGCGTCTTATTTGTCTCTCTTAGTCTCACTTGTTGCGACAGACGTCTATCTCCCAGCACGTTGGTTTCCTAGTGGCGATGACCATAATTCAATCTGTATACAACGTCGGCGGGATTCGTGTCCTCCTCCACCACTTGGAGTCAAAACTGCAAGAGACTCCAATCACGGTGCTTTTTCTCCTTCACGGGCGCCTTGGTTCAAGCAAAGATACCCACTCAATAGCGGAACATATCCTAACACTTTCGAAGGATTATTCTCATCAAGAGCTCTGCTCATCGTTACATTCGTACGTACCCCCTCCCACCGCCCAATGGCGATTAGTCCGAGCCTGCTCCGGATGGATCTTGATGCATCGCTTTCTCCCTGGTATCTGTCCACACCTGCATTATATCCTGGGATTGTGCTACGTGTATTATCCGATCACCTCCGGGTTACGGCAGGATCATCGGAACCATGGCGAGCGTCTCATCACACCTCTTGCCAACCTTGGCTGGCACCGGGAACCAGCGGAAAACAATTCAAATCATGCGTAAGTTTCACTCTAGCCCCCATCATCAGCCGTTGGCCATTTGACCTCCCCGATCATGTTCTCGCGTGATGATGCGTGATCGGACAGGATTGATATGTACGCTATACAAAGTATGGTTTATGGTTTATCCCCTATCGCCTTCATCAACTAGTTCTACACCACTCCTCGCTAACGATACGGCCCATTTATCCCCATTCCAAATATGTAAAAAGCCGGCACTGCAAAGGACGTTTCATTCTTGATTGACTTTTTGCCCTCCTACTTATTCCCCAATGGAGAGCGGGAAATCGATCGGTGGGGCGTCGCAGGGATTAGTCTCGGTGGACATTCGACGTGGATTTGTTTAAAGAACGGTTAGTACGTAATGCGGGTACGGCAGCACTTGTGCTTAATGTATAGAATCCTAGATCCTAGGGTCACCATTGGGATTCCCATTATAGGTGCGTTCGTACATACCCCATTTGGTCCTTGCGACATATTGGCCGCTGACAGTATGCGGACAAAACAGGCTGTCCTTCGTTTCTAACTCTCATGCGAACCCGAGCAGCCCAATACCGCCTTTCTGGACCCCCAACGTTCCCTGACTCGCTTGTTTCTTATATCGAGCATAACGATCCTTCCAGTACTGAACCCAATCCATCCCTGAACCCCTTCCTTGGAAAGAAGATCCTTATTCTGTCTGGTGGCGCGGACAGTCTTGTCCCGTGGGAGGCGAGTAAGGCCTTCATTGAAAAGCTGGACTTGGGCGAGAATGGAGTCAAAACAGTTTTTTTGGAGGATGGGGCCGGGCACCAGTGCACAAGAGAAATGGTGAAGCGACTGGGCGAATTTATGATTAAATGGGGTTTGAATGCCTGAATGGCAGCTATGTGACTTTGGCCAGAAATCTGGTTTCGTGATTTAGACATTATGTGGGCGCATGCATCCGCAAACAACATCGTTCACATATATATTTGTGATACCCACCTAGACCGCCACTTCAGTGCTACACACTATAGATCCTAGCGGGTTTCTAATATATAGGAAACAGTGGGTCAGTGTCCTGAGCCCACTTTACCAAGCCTCCCACAAGATCCGTCACTTGAACATCCATGGCGTATTCTTCGGCAACAGATTTAATCGCCCGTGCCGCCTTCTGTGAATCATTGCCCCTTCTACAAACACAAATGATATGGCGCTTCGCACTGCAGGCTCCCTCTTGAGCGCTTGAACCACGGGGGGTTGACAAATTGAGATTGAGCGTATGAGCAGGATTTTCAAGTAGTTCTTTAAGTGGCACATCTATGGAACGAAGTCAGTGGGCTTCATTGCGCACATGTGGAAGGATTGGTTGCATGACATACTCTTCGAACCTGGAATTGAGCAGATACCAAATTCCGTGGGTGGTCGAGTATCAATAATTACAAAATCATTTGGACCATTCATACACTTCCTAAGGATCTAAATGTTGGAACGTGAGTTTCGCCAGGTTGGAACAAGTACGCGAATCCGATACCTCGGGCTGAATCCTGTCGCTATTTACATCAACGAATTCTCCCAGCAGCTTCACCCCATCACAAAGAGCAACATAATCTACCGCATCAAAGTCCACTGAAGATTCTACTCCGCACGCAGCACAGGAAGGCCTTCTTCCCCGAAGTTTGATGGTGCGAAAAGGGGAAACGGGAGACAACGCGGAAAAGAGTGTTAAAGTTGGCACATAGGTGTCCTCATCTAGTCATATGAGCGGTTGAGAAAGGAGGAAATAACGGTTGTTCAGCGGCGCACCAATAAGACCGGCTAGTATCTTGATGGCTTCCAAAGCCTGTAGAGTTCCAATCACACCAGTAACACTTCCTAACACCCCTTCTTCTTCACATGTCCCCAGAGTCTCCGGCTTAGGTGGTTTCGGGAAGACACATCGGTAACAAGGACCCTGTTTTCCGAAATTAAAGACAGCTAACTGTCCATCATATCGTAGGGCGGCCCCGCTGACAAGTGGTATACGGAACTTTGAGGTGGCATCAGCGAGAAGATAACGAGTGGGCGAATTGTCGGTGCAGTCCAAGACCACATCATAAAGACTTCCTGAGGACCTAGCCGCGGCACCATCGTGTGAGTATAGGATAGATTCCAGGTTAGATGGTGTGATTGAGATTGGGTAAACGGACACCTCGATATTCGGATTGATTCTGAATTGATGTCCTAAAGGCGTTATCGTCACCGAGAACGGATAGACGTGAGGGTGTCCTACGATCGCACTGCATCCCCTGCAGAATGAGCTTTGTTCCATCCAATTTTGTTATCTGAGTGCAGGATTTGCCGCTGGAGATTCGAAAGCTCCACTTCGTCATGATCCACGATGCCAATATGGCCAATGCCAGCGGCAGATAGATACTGAAGTGCAGGACATCCCAAACCACCAGATCCTACTACGAGCACAGAGGCGGACTTTAGCTTGAGTTGAGATGGCAGCCCAAAGTTGTCCATAATCATCTGGCGACCATAGCGTCTGTTTTCATGAAGCGTCAATCCATTAAATGTCGGGGAGTGCATTGATGCTGGAGTAGGTGAGGAAGACAGTGAGTGGAGTTTCAATTGCGCCGCATGAAGTTGGCATTCAAGATGGGAGATTTTGGTGATCAATTCCTGTGAATTATCGGGAAGTACTGCATTTCCATCTTCTGAAGCCATCGTGATAAGCGGTCGAAATCTCGATAAGACGATTGCACTGCCACGTCACAACGAGGCTGCGGGGTAACAAGATAGATCCACGGTCCACCACCACCACCACGACTGACCCAAGCGATAGTGTGTTTCGATAGGTTGCCCAGGCCAACGCCTAGTCTATCCCTTATAAGATATATGTATCAGTGAAGCACTATAATATTATCAATATTAGAATTCTTGGTACTATGGTGTACGCTATGACCAACTCACGTTTGGTGATGTTGAGTCGTGTGGCGTCTAGATTTACACCTATTACCTTTCTTGGTGACATCCGTGCCAAAGTCAGCGCGCATTCATAGCGCCTGACTATAAAAGAACAATTTTTGGACAACCCAACCTTTCCTCAGTTCACGTACAACGGGACTGAGGTGTGTTGGTTACATCTTGTTCATCTTTCATAAATCATGTATTAAACATTTGTCCACCAGCGATAAACTCGCTAGGTGATTACTTTCCAATCTATTTTAGTTCACGTACAACGGGACTGAGCGATAAACTCGCTAATCCGACATTTCGTCTTATGATCAAGTCATATATAGAGGCTGGAACTGAAGCGGTGACGACGCGATTCGTTGTCTAAGTCCCACGCCCACGCGATGCGCTGATAGGAGTAAGCACTTGGATGGATCACTTCTCTAATGTTGTGCCTATGTCAACATCTACAGTTTAGTTTTGAGCACTGGGTTGATATTTGGCTAGCTAGACACACTGGTAAATGACGCTTTAATGGACTACCTGACCTTGCCCAAGATCGCCCACCAGTGCCATCGATACTTACTTGGGGCCGGGGCCGGCAGGGGTTGTAATAAGATTGCATGCATCGACTCGCAACCCAATTGCACGTACAGCGAGATATCAACAATGCGGACGTCAAGAAAAAAAGCTTAAGGTATGGAGGTGTGAGGCGTGAAAACCTCACCTCGTTCCAGGAATGTGTTATATTATGCATGCCGTTTGCCCCGACTCAGCGTGACACCCGAACTGCCTCAAAGCATCAGCTGTAGCCACGAGCCAGTACACGTGGGAAACAAGACCATTGCGGCTCAATCAATGACAGGGCTCTCAGCACAAGCCTTCGAGTCACTGCAGCCTCACCAAAAAAGTTTTCTTCGCTCTTTGCCAAAGGCGGAATTACACGCACACCTCAATGGATGCATACCTCTCGATTGTTTGACCACACTCGCCCTAAACACACTAAGGAACGACGAAACCCAGCCTTCCTTGGTTCAAGAGGGTCTTCGAATCCTAAAAGCAGGCGTTACCCTGAATCGGATCGAGGAAGCCTTTGATCTGTTCCCAGCTATCCATCACATCACATCGACACCAGAAGCCATTGCTTCTGCCACATCGGCTGTGCTAGACTCTTTCCTGGAGCCCATTTCGCTAGGTGTCCCCCCCCAATGTGCCTACATAGAGCTTAGAACGACCCCTCGGTCGTCAGCCTTCATGTCCAGGGAAGAGTATCTCTCAGCTGTTTTAGGAGAGGTCGTGAAGCGGGATGGTAAAGCCTCTCTGATCGTGAGCGTTGATCGACGGATGTCTCCACAGGACGCAGCAGAGTGCATCAGCCTCGCGATCCACCTACGTGATTCTGGTCAACCTATTGTTGGAATCGACCTGTGTGGTAATCCCTCGGTCTGTTTCCTTCTTCCAACAACAAATTCTTAAAGTTCTGAATAAGCTCCCCGTAATAAAGTCCGGTGATATGAAAGCGTTTCATACGCTCATGGACACAGCTCGTAGGGCCCAACTCCCTTTAACCGCCCATATTGCTGAGGTAGTTACAGTTCATATACTTGAGGTACCCTCGCTCACTATACGCATAGACGGAGAACTCTGCAGAAGACACCACTGAAATACTTTCGTGGAGCCCTCGACGACTGGGGCATGCAACATTCTTGGATACTGACGCAACTCTGAAAGTTTTCAATGAGAAGATACCTATTGAAATATGCCTGTCGTCAAACCTCTGGTACGGATTATCTATTTTTGTAAGGACATCTATGAAATCATAGCCTGTACAGTTGTAAGACAGTCAAGACTCTGTCAGTTCATCACCTTCGTTCTTGGTTGGAACGAGATCACCCCGTCATCATTTGTGTAAGTGTTGAAGCCTCTCACTGGTTGATCTCGCCGCGCATCATCATTAATCTTCTACCAGACCGATGACACCTTACCATTTGAGACAAATCTTGTGGCTGAGTACGCCTTGCTCCTAGCGCAGCCGCCTCTGGGACTTGGGTTCGACGAAGAAAAAGTGCGACGAATTGCTCGAATGGGATTCGAATACCGGTTCCCACGAAAGTAAGAGGTTCCTAGCGCGAGTGTTTGATTTCTTGCACATAGTCGTACGCTGTGGCCGACTCACGCTGTTGAGGAGTCTTGCTGTTGGAGTGTATATGGTTTCCTCAACTTCATAAGTTTCTGTTCCAAACTTGTCGCTTTCTAAATACGAGTGTAGATTTAACTTGTTTGTGCTCTTCATTGTTATCGCATTAATCAACAGCCTAAAGAGTCTGCACTTCTGCTTTTGCACGCTGAGCTAGCAACCTTCAATGTCAGGTTTCTCTTGCCTTTCTGTGACAGGGGCATTTTCACTGGTGCGCAGAGTGTGGGCACTCAAAGGGCGAATACCTATCTTGTAGGATTTCTTGGGATATGGATATCGGCGTACGCTGTGACCCGAATCACGGAATTGAGCCTGCGGCGTCGTGTTACCTTTAATTTCTTGGTAAACTTACTACCATGTGCGCGCGCTATTCAAAGCGCCCCGCTTATAAAGCGAGAGAATTGTCTTTGATGTCTTTCCTCAGTTCACCTACTTGTTGAAGTGGCATTCCGATTCCCTTTGCGCCACTGGGTGACTAGTCGACAATATGTAGCCACCATTGAAACAAAGCCGGCATCGCTTAGCTGGGATTACCTGTTTGTTCCCACCTTGCGAAATGTATATAAGCGTGATATCTAATAACACTGATATCGTGCCCATGCATATGGTATGTCAAGGTATGATGCCGCGATTATAACAGAACTGAGGTGAAATAGTTTTTACCCTTGTCTTGTGTCCTGATACATTGTATCTGACTAGGCAGGATCCCAGCCTCTACTAAAGTAGAGTATCTGACCCATGTATACTAGTGACAGTAACTTAAATATTATTCTAGTTCCCGTACTACGGAACTGAGCATGAGCCGCTAGCGTAAATCGCTATTATTCCGACATATCTAAGATGGTGGTTCACATAGCGCCGCAGGACTTGTAACACTTTACCCAGTAGGAGCAACCCCACATACCCCCGACACCTAACCCAACCAGAGGATAACTACACCAACAAGAAATTTCATCACAGCGCGCTACAGTGTAAAGAGCCGCCGCACTGCCACGTGATAACGACGCACAACCACTTCACCTACAATCTCCGCCCACTATCGAGTTGTAACCCAAATGGTAAATCCACGAGTTTTTTTCGATTTCGCTGTAGAGAGTGAGTCTATTGGGAGGTGGGTGATTGCAGTCCACTTGCCGACGAGACGCTTATCAAAGTAGCAGAGTCGTCTTTGAACTCTTTTCCAACATTGTCCCAAGGACGTGCGAGAAGTACGTGTATTCCTGTTTCCATGATTGTCATGAGCTGCGTCAGTGACTCCAATGCAGCTTCCGTGCCCTCGCCACCGGGGAGAGAGGTGTACTACCCGTTTCCCAAATCCCACTTTCTTATAAAGGGAGCATCATTCACCGCTCTGTCCCTGGTTTTATGATTCAAGGGGGAGGTATGTGGTCATCTGCTTTTGTGTCTGCTCTTGACACTTACGAATCATAGATTTCGTAAAGAAGAACGGCAGTGGAGGGGTATCCATCTATGGCGGAACATTCGAGGATGAGAATTTAGACCTGGATGTTGATCGCGAAGGGTAAGTAGTCTTGTGTATCGGTATGAACACGCCTTCGACCCCTGCCATTAGGCTGCTTGTTATGGCAAACAAAGGCCCCAGCACGAATGGCTCGCAGTTCTTCATCACTCTTCGCTCTTGTCCGCATTTGAATGGAAAGCATGTTGTATTCGGTCGCGTTGTTACAGGTCTGCCATCTCTGTGATGTTTGTCGTTCTATTGTTACTGATAATCCAGACGTTCTTTCAAGGCTATGAAATTGTGAAGAAGATTGCTGAGATACCTACTGACGCAAAAGATCGACCGCTCCGCCCTATAATCATTTCCGGGGCCGGAGAGCTTGTCCTCCGCAAGAAGGTAGCGCCTCCTGAAAATATTAATCTTGTCGGTTCGTCCAGATCAAAGAAACGTCCCCGTTCCCATTCGCCCGCAATCTCGCCGCCGCATTCTCGGTCTCGCTCAACGTCGCATTCTCCATCACCTTCGCCACGGAAGGATGAGGGCGATGGGCGTCAAGCCAGATGTGCGGACTCCGGTCATTCCCTCTCACGATCACCATCTTGGGAACGGCGCAAGGAGCCAAGTAGACGTGAGAGGGCCCCGAAGACGACCAAGTGGAATGGCGACCCATTTAGAAATAATGGCACAAAATCGAAGGGTACGGGACTACCAGGCAGGTCATCCAAGACCCAACTCGCAGAGACGGAGGCAGAGCTTGATGCCCGGTAAGCTGATGATCACCATACATTATTGAATCCGATTAATTCCGAGGATTAGACTAGAGAGGGAAGAGATGGAGAGGGTAGCGGAAGCGAAGAAGAAAGACGCCGAAGTCTTGCGCGATTCGTTGAAGCGTTCACGGATCCAGGAAAGCTTGGGCGGTGTGAGGTTCAAAGGTATGTCTCTGATGATCCTCGATTTCTCGGCTTTAACTCTACTTGAAGGGCGAGGCACCATGCGATACAGAGACCCGGAGCTCTTCAGGCGGTGAGGAACCATGTCGCGGATGAACATGTGGATTAGCCGTTTATATACCTCTGGGATTCATGTTGGGCTCGGAATTCGAAGCCCCAATGTCGCGAAGGGGACATCTGGATTCGCTGACAGATAGTGGGATCCTAACATGTTGGGTGGATCCTGTGACGTGGGATGTGTTGGTCATCAGTAAATGAGCCATTGCGAAGATGATGATCGATGGGTGGAATCATTTCAGATATCATTTTGAACATCTTGTCCCCCATAGCGTAGTAATATTTTCTCGAATGCCATCATGCAGAGACGGAAATGATGGGAATGATGACACACTTAAGCTCTAACCAATAGAGCCAGAATGATGGGCAGTTGTGTAGAACGGGGCAGTCGATTGCTCATGTAATAAATTTGTGGCCAACTACGCTAGCTAGAGGTATGGCTCAGTTGTCGAAAATATGTAACGAACGTGGTTATGAGGTCTTCACACCTCGCTGGCCCGCAAACGGAAAGACATAGCACGGCCGGTATATACGAAGCAGTATTCCTTCCCCCACAATATGACTTGGTCAACTCCGCAGACGCACGGCTGGGGAACACTTAGTTAGCCTGGTGTTGAACCGATCACATAGAAAGGAAAATGACAGGGAAACAGGTATATAGGAGGGGAAGACCTGTCCTCAAATCCGACCAACCAACTGAACGATCGAAGGCGGTAACGTGATAGCCGCAGTCGGCCCCGAGGGCTTGATCGTTGTCCAAAATGGTGCATCTTCGGCTCAACGAGAAGCAGAGCTCTCCAAATCCTTTCATCAATTTTATCACCGCGTTACCGTACAGTGGAGCTGATGAAGATAGCGCTGCTAAGTCTCTTTTGTGTGCGCTAGCTGCGCAAGTGAAGCCTGTCATGCGGGTGACTCAGGATTCCTCATGCCGTTTGGCTATTGGCTTATGCTGCTTCTAGGCCCACGGACTTACGATTAATAGTTTGGAGGAGGTGTGTTCTTGTTGTAGTTCGCGATGACCAGGAAGTAATTGGAGCTGATGGATGACCTTGTGTGCTAGTACGAGGTAGCTCTGGGCAACATGCTTGTAATTAAAGTTAACGTGAACTTGTATCAAAGTTTAACAGAGTCTTCGCTGGTGAGGGTTTTTGAGTCTTTTTTTTTTCAATCGTTATTTACGGAACTGCATGAAGGGAGGAATTGGAATGCTGGGGAGACGATCGAACTTGTGTTAAGGAAACCCAACGGAGAGTTTTGGCCCGTGGAGTACCTTCTAGGAGTGCTTTGTCATGAGCTTTCCCATATTAAGGTAAACCTCTCTGTGTCACTCATTACGAATTTCTGATTCCCAATAGCACATGCACCATCTGCCATCATTTCATGCATTTCGTCTGCAACTTACACGCGAAACTGAGGAGCTCCGATCTAAAATGTATTTTGGGGATGGCATGTGGTCTGTAGGCCGCAGGCTAGGAAACTCGAAATTGGTGCTTGGAGTGGAAGCGGGTTTGGCAAACATTTATCCCGACCACATAGTAAGTTATTTGCCGACTTACGGTTTGGAGTTCTCGGGAGTAATTCACGCTTATGTACCATTGCATCCATAGTGTGGCGGAGCTACCCCACAAAGTCGACGCACGGCCCTAAGGGAACATCAGAAGAAGCGTAGTCGAAAGTCGGTTCTGCCTTGCCAATTTTCGGGGCCTCAAACCTCAAAAAGGGCAAGAAACGGCTCACGTGTGACACGACGAGATGCTTTTGGTGGTCCTGAGAATAAAGCATTAGGAAGAAGATTAGATGAGGACATAGGAGACGAGGATGAAAAAAAACGGGGGGCGGGATTTCGCAAGAGAACAAATAGGTGCCGTGATATTCCTGTTAGTTAGTAGTTGGCGGGAAATTACCTTCGAGTTCTAGTCGCTTGGCCCGTCAAATGCGAGCCGAAGCTGCGGAGAAACGCTTGAATCAATCATCGACCTCAGCATCATCTCTACCAACGGGTTCTGATGGAGTAATGAAAAAAGAATTTGGTACACTTTCCGGTGCCAGTGATGACGGAGATGATTACGAGAGCGTTCCGGAGGAGGATTCAGGTCGTCGAAAGATGCTGGAAAGGTTCGAAGCCATGTCCGGCGGGTATCAAGAAAAGTTCGTCGTTCCCTGCCCCAAAACGCTGCCTACCTCCGAACACAAGGCAAAGGCAGAACGCGATCCGCAAACTCAATCGTCCATTCTATCATACTTTGCACCCGCAGCGGGCCCAAGTGCATCGTTCAATGTTGAGATTCCTGTGAACGAGGTCCAGGCTTACCTGATCTGTGATGAAGTGCTGACTCGAAAAAAAGAGTCCATCGGTTCGGGAGAATCCTTTCTTCTGGGCGGAGTTGCGGATGATACTCAGAGAACTACGTCCCATAGAGGTCGCTAGAAACATTTTACCGCAAATCCCAGTTGGCCTGGAACGTCTCAGTCTAGAAAAAATACCAAGAGTTAGACCTGCCTGGCTTGCACTCTGTAATTTATTCTTTCTAGCGATTGTCTTTATAGTTGATCGATTGTGCGGACAAAATAAATCACTGTGACTACATTCGTTGCTCCGTTTGTTGGGCTGATCGGCGGAAGATGACCTTTCCAGCACCATGTAGGATCTTTGTACACTCCTTCAATTGCGAAGCCTCTCCGGGAATCCTGTAGAATTCGCTCATTGCATCATGGCTAACTCTATTTTATTTATCCTCTGCCATGGAATGTTGAAAAGTATCGCGATGCTAGTGCAAACTGCCTATGCAGATGGTTGATCATCTTTGGTCGTCAAAGTCTCATCTCCACCCTTGATTTCCCATTCACTAACACCGACGCAGGCCCCCAGGGTGCGCCATCGCTCCATGTTGGCGTTCCGGTGAGCTTCTGCCATTAGGATTAAATTCGGCCAGTACTTTGAATGATCCCAAACGAAATTGACTTCTCCACCCCATGCCTTCGAGAGTGTGAAATTTATGAACTCGGCATTAGGACCGGACATCACTTACGTGGGTGACCATTTCCTTTGAGAAAATATTTTCTTCGATGACTTCGGGGTTAAACTTAATCTTTACCCTGGTGTTCGAGTCCACGAAAGGCATTATGAGTTTGAAGAAGGCATTGATTAGGAAAGGGACATTGATGATCAGCGCACGGCCCAAGCGCTCAGGGTAATGGTTCTCTAGATCAAGAGAAACAATTAGGGATCAATGAATGTGGAAATATCATGTAACTTGCGAAGGATATCCAACATCTATTCAAGAGGAGTGAGGAATGTAAGCTGGGGTATTAACCAGGGAGCTGCCCACCTTGCGTGCAGTACCCAAGCTTGGATTCGTCCCCTTATCAGAGAAATCTATGAGATAAGTAAAACTTTGATGAACTGAGGATAACATTCGGAGAGCCCAAAAGTATGAGCGACATACGTCTCGACGCCGGGGGGCATGATATCAATACAGCGTTCCATAAGCCAGAAGCAGAATTGGAGCTGTCTTTCGCTCTCCGTCGTATTCTGTCGACTAGGAAGCATATAGACAGCGGGTCTTCCATCGTTGTCAAAACCGAAAGTGATCATCTTGCCCGTCACAGCCTACAATATCGTGTTTAACCTAGCTGGATAGCAGCAAGGATACCAGGATCGACGCACCTCTGGTTCAACCAGTTCAGCATTAAGGAATGAATATAAGCCATAGTCTCTTCTCCATGAGAGACTACTTTCGAGCCGCTTGATAGCCGTTGCTTGGTTCCATTTCGAGGCACGGAGGTACCTTAGCAAGCATTCTTTAGTCTGCAAAATCCCCCGAAATGGTGAGCGCGCCAGAGCCTGTAACTGGAGACGAGATGATGCACCAGCCAGAATTTCTCCTCTTCAGTTAGCGCGGAAGGAGTCTCAGCAGATGTTACGCAGAATTCCGGTGTCTTGAAGTGCGCTTCAACCGCATCATATGTTGCTTGGTGCGCTTCTGGCAAAAATGCTACAGGGTTTGATTCGAGCTTGAATTGAGTTTCGATAGGTACAGACGTCTCAACCATTCTGCTTGAGGGACGTCGAAGTTCAAGGAAAAGAAAACTTACGATATTACGAATATTTAGGACCCTGAATGTTGTTCAAACAAGCGCCTGTCCTTTGTCGCTGGACACGGATTGGCGCGCGACGAGCATGGCGCTGGCCCTACGAATGATTGTCATGCATGATTATCATTTGGTGGGAATGGTGACGATAGATCCATGTACATAAGTTAAGGCGTCTAATCGGCTCTCAAGTTCTACCCGTGGGTAGATTTTGATACATTTCCGGTCCCTTCGGCCACACCTGGATTACCAGCTCACAGAGGAACCCCGTGCAACTCTCTGGGAAGGAACTGCAGCCAGAATCAATTCTCCTTTTTGGACCCAAATCCCGTACCTCTTGAACACAAGACTCCCACGAACCTATTCATCATATCGAAGAACAAAGTCTCACTTCCCGCTAAAGAGAGGTTGGTCACCTGCCTAGGGAACGTCCTCATCCACGACCGATTACCAGAGTCACTCGACGTACCCAAACCGCAGTGTTTGTCTTTCCACGTGGCGCTTTGTTTCAACCTCTAGAGAGTGACGAAAGGATGACTACGGACCAACGAGGTTGAGCTGAGTCAGCTGCACTGTAGCGGAGTTGGCCGAATTCATTCACTTGTTCCTGAACATTAATTTTTTTTTAAATGGACCATGCCTTACTTAGCTGTGCATATTACACACTTATAGCGGAGTTGGCCGAATTCATTTTAACCTCTTTTGTATTACATTCATCACGTTTCTCTCCTATACAGCGGAGTTGTCCGTCTTATCTTCTCATATTGTCTTTGTCCTTTGAATCGATGGGTGAATTCCAGTCAACCAATGCGCTGAAAAAAATGGGTCGGGCGCTGGTTTCATGTAAATCATATTATCTTGCATGAGGTGAACCATACGATCGGCTGCGCAAATGTATAATTCCCCACGGTCTCACGGTACAAGCGGTGCGAAGCGAAGCGAGTGCACTACCCAAAGCTCAGACACATCCACGATTCTCCCTGCAAACCGACAGGTCTTCTTGAGATGAAAATTGCGGTTCTAACCTCGGGTGGTGACAGTGCAGGAATGAATGCCGCCGTTCGTGCAGTATGCAGAGCTGGCATCCTTCAGTGATTGTATCTTTTCCCGGATTGGCCCACTAATTTTAACGACCAAAACAGGGGCTGTGAAACGTGGGTTGTGCGGGAAGGTTATGAGGGTCTCGTCTTGGGAAATGTTGAAATGAAGGGTACATCAGTCTCGTTGCAAGATCATGTTGAACCAAACGTCCCAGATCACCCCGATCATTATTCAATTCTCCAGAATTTACGATTTGGCGATGGAGAGCTCTTGCGAGAAGGAGACGCCGACGCGTCTGCTGACGATAGCACTGGTAGAAGAAGTCTCAAGGGACGGCACATTATCCGGGTTGGGTGGGACGACGTCCGGGGTTGGCTTGGCGAGGTGTGTGAGCGCTTTTCTGGCCGACGATCTGACAAGTAAGTCTTGTTCAGGGCGGCACATTGATAGGCACAGCCAGATCGAAGGCGTTTCGTACGCCGGAAGGCCGATCTGCTGCTGCACATAATTTGATTAAGGAAGGGATTGATGCTCTTGTCGTTTGCGGTGGCGATGGTAGCCTTACGGGTGCCGACAAACTTCGTGCGGAGTGGCCATCTCTTGTGAAGGTCTTAGCAGAGCAAGGTATACGGCGGACAATGCAGAATCCTGAGCGTGCATTCAACCCCAATCTTCCTGACAGGAAGGATAACGCAAGAACAGGCATCGAAATATGGGCATCTTCGAGTTGCGGGCCTTGTTGGTTCAATTGATAATGACATGGCACTGACTGATATAACTATTGGAGCCTTCACTGCTTTACATCGCATATGCGAGTCGATCGATAACATAAGCACCACAGCTAGTTCTCATTCCCGTGCTTTTGTGGTCGAGGTCATGGGTCGGCACTGCGGATGGCTCGCTCTCGTTGCTGGTATGAGGTATGAGCTATAAGTCCAAGTAATTAGGTCAATTGGGGCTGACGCGGCCTTTCATCCAGTGCTGGAGCTGATTTCATTTTCATTCCCGAGAAGCCTGCAAAGGTGGGGGAATGGGAGAATGAGATGTATGAAATTATAACCCGCGTGAGTGCCAACAAGGCGGGGGCCTCATGCCAATAATGATGGCTGTGTTCATTCAATCAGCATCGAAAAATCGGCAAACGGAAGACTATTGTCATCATTGCCGAGGGCGCGTTAGATACTCAACTCAACCCCATCAAGCCTGATCACGTCAAGGATGTGCTCCAAAACCGCTTGGGTCTAGATACACGTGTCACGACACTTGGCCACACTCAACGAGGGGGGAAACCATGTGCCATGGATAGGATTTTGGTGCTCCAGTCTCGAAGTCCAAAATTGGAGCGTCGCTAATTGATCCATATGTTAGCCTACACTGCAAGGCTTTGAAGCAGTCGATGCGCTCCTCTCGGCTACTCCGGACACTCCATCATACATGATAGGTATCTCGGAAAACAAGATTACGCGGGTTCCTCTGATGGAGGCCGTGAAAACTGCAAGTGTGCACCCCATCCGCGAATAAGAACTGAACTGATTATGGGAGCTAGACTCAAGCCGTTGCTAAGGCTATTGAAGCAAAAGATTTTGAGAAAGCGATGTCTTTGCGCGACCCAGAATTCGCCGAAACTTATCAAAATTTCCTCACAACCTCAAGCATTAGCGATGAGAATTTGCTACCGAACGAACAGGTGCGATTTGAAGTGTCTACTCTCGTTCAAGGAAATATTAATGGATTCCGTAGAGACTTCGAATCGCGATTATTCAGTATGTGTTAGGCCTCAACTAGTATATGCCGTCTAGTGTTGAAGTCATTTGCTCTAGCGTCGGTGCTCCAGCTGGCGGAATGAATGCAGCAACGCGAACCGCCGTACGCTTCTGTCTCAGCCGTGGACACCTACCACTTGCAATTCACAACGGCTTTATCGGGCTCCTCAACGATAACATCAATGAGCTCTCGTGGTTGCGCGTAGACAACTGGATGACGAGAGGGGGTTCAGAGTTAGGGACCAACCGTTCTCTCCCTGATATCAATCTCGGACAAGTGGCCTCTCAATTCCAAAAGCATCAATTCGATGCTCTTTTTCTCATCGGTGGTTTTGAAGCGTTTAATTCTCTCCTCATGCTGGAGAGGGCCCGTCAACACTATCCGTCATTCAACATTCCCATGGTACACTTACCAGCCACCATTTCGAATAACGTTCCTCTCACCGAGTTCAGTATTGGAAGCGATACAAGTTTGAACGCACTTGTGGACGCATGTGATGCGATTAAACAGAGTGCATCAGCAAGTCGTAATCGCGTTTTCGTTGTTGAGACACAGGGAGGCAAATGTGGCTACATTGCCACGATGGGTGGCTTGGCGGTGAAGATGCATGTTGCCAAGATTATTTCAGACCTCTTATCTCTTATTTCTCAGGCTGGTGCTGTGCTTGTCTACACTCCGGAAGTTGGGATAAATCTCGGCATGCTGACATTTGATGTCAAACATCTTAAGAATCGCTATCGCTTGGACATCAAGGGGAAAAGCGAGGGCAGGCTAGTTCTTCGGTAAGTGAGGGCACGTTTATTTGGACTTTCCTGGTATCTCAGTAGTTACAGGAACGAAAAGGCATCAGAAGTATACACTACCGAAGTTATTACGAAAATGTTCCGGGAGGAAGGCACTTCACTGTTTGATTCTCGTTCGGCTTCTCTGGGTCATACATTGCAGGGGGCATCCCTTCACCACTCGACCGAGCACGTGCAGCGCGTCTCGCATCAAAATGCATGACCTTTCTCGAAACACAGGCACACATGTTGAGGGCACAATCAGCAACTAGACGAGCACCTCCGAATGCAGCGGCTATGATCACCATTGAAGGTAGCTCAGTTCGCTTTGCACCCGTGACCCGTGTCGTAGAGCATGCCGACATGAAAGACAGGCGTGCTAAGCATTCATGGTGGGAGAAGTATAGAGATTTAGTGCACGAGCTTGGTGGTCTCTCCAAATTACACGTCGAATCCTAGTTGATGTGTACTCCTTGTGCGGGGTTGGCACTTGAAATCAATTACATGATTATGCAACCACTGTCCCTTACTCGTGGCCCATCTTTTCTTCGTGGCACTGCTCCCAAAGATGGGGGGGCGGGCCGGAGTGTATTGTTGCGCGGTATCTGTTGCCGCGCTGGTTGGTGTCCATGGGCCATAGGGCCAGGGTTGGGTGTGACCAGCGCTCTAGGCGTGTTAGACTGAATATTGTGGACTGGGACAGGTGTCGCGGAGCCTGTTGACGAGGGGCCGCTTTCCGGATTCAGACGCCCACTGTCAGGAATAAGCTCGTTTTCTTCTGCTTGGAGTTGAATGGCCAGCGCCAGGCTGCAGGATCATTAGTGAATGAACGATGACCATGCATGGATAATTTAAAATGGACCAAACCCACTCTATATCGTAATTCGCATTTCCGACGGCTTCAGTTCCTTGTAGGACCTTTTCGGTAGTCGTTCCGGCAAAATCACCACCTGCAGTACTGGACAGAATCAAATCGCCGTTGACAAAGCGAGAACTTGAGCCGTCAACATCACCGAGACTTTCCCAAACAACCTCAGGTTCTCGCGAGAAATTGCTGTCGGTAACCAGTGTCCAGAGTGACGACTCTGAGTCAGGCCCAGTGTACCTCAGCAAAACGGAAAGATGGGAATTTCGGATGAAGGCGTATAATCCGGAGTCAATATCGAGTAGGCTGAATAGGCCATAATACGTCAATTGTGTGCTGTTTGACTCCAGGAATTGCCGGATCACTACCGCTGCATAGCGCTTGTAAGTCATAGACATCAACAGATTCACCGAGCGGAATCTTACCATCACGATAATGTGTATCGTTGTCGGTATTATGGTCGGTATTCTGCGGACTTTCTTCACCCGCTACGATTAGATTAAGAGCGCTACCGGTCTGTCATGACAGGGGCTTTTTAGCTTCAGACAGGCGGTAAGACGCACGTATCATAATCTCCGGCCTTTGAAATGACGGAGTATTCGGAAGAAAATGGATCTGCGAGCCACCCATGGACCAAGGTCACTCCGCAGAGCTGAAAGAGTTTCAATTCCCCTTTGCCGGACGAGTCGCTAAAGGACGATATGCCGGTGAACCGAGGATTCAGATCCATTCCCTCTTGTCTGTCTAGTGTCAATACAGAGGCACTGAGATCTGCAATCGACTCACATTAAGGGGAGAACCGCAAGTGCAGCATTCAAATCAACTTCGGATAAAGAGTGGTGCGAATTCACCAAATAATCGGCAACCAGTGATGCAAGATACTCATACGAGACGTATGTCCTTTCAGCAGGAAGAATTGTGATCGATCGCCTCAATATCAGAATGTTTACAAGCGCGATGAGTGAGCATGGCCCATTCCGGTTCTGGGTCACAATTTTGAACAAGTTCTTGGACTTGGGAGGATATTTTATTCCTTTGAGTCTCCATACGGAATCTAGTGACTCTTGAACCGCATTCGCGCTCATGAGGGGTGAGAATAGAAGATTTAAGCTGACAATAGCAATAGGGGTTGTGCTTTAGGCCAGCTTTAAGATTCTCACGGTCCTGACTCTGTGTGCATAACAATCTGTTAGATTCCATCATACAAATTATGCCAATCTTTGTGAGTACATGGCAAGAAATAACCCCTGGTGGTAAGGTCGTAAATGGTTGTGCAGAAATACCAAATAATCAGCGGCGGTTCAACATTCACATGATGATGCAGCGCCCTCGGCTGCCCGATTTCTCTGAAGCTGGGCTAGAGATCTCTCCTTCAACAATCTCAAAAGTTAGTCCTGCATCCTGTCGATTTTCCTTCCAGCCACCGGGAAGCAGAGGGAAACGGCTGGCCGTTGATTCAAAACGAACTCTCGTTGGTGGGTGTTCAGAAGACGAAGTGCCTGGGAATGGAACCGATTCTCTGCGGATGCACGTTATATTATCACGAGGGGTTCACCGATGGCAATGAGACTCACGTCGTAGTGTGTGCTCGGCTTGACTCAGATTGAGGGATATCTGAGTCTGGAGGATCAATTAGTTTGAATGGCACGTCAGGATCCAGCGTTTGCGAATGCTGTAGATCATCGTCTTCGTGGCGAGGAGTAGCAGTAGCATAGGCAGATGACGTCTCTGAGGAAAGTGCTGAGGTGCTGTCATCCGTGTCATCCAGCCCTATACTATCCTCCCCTTGCGGCCCTTCGAAAAGAGATGTGGAAGTTGGCCTTGGGGTAGTGTCATTATCATCGGACACAGTGTCCTTCGAGAGCTGATCCACGTCTGTTGCATTGAGTTTTGCTATTTCTTCTTCCCCTTTAGTAGGTTCCAGGGTCTAAAAGCGCAACGCTGAGTGGATACCAGATGAGCAGCACTAAACGTACCCGATCGAAAATTGGCAAATTCGTTGGCGAGGCAATATTTCTAGTATCTCCGCCCAGTAGGGGTGTAGCCTGTGAAATGGCAGAATCGGGCTGAGCACCGGTGAGGTGAGGCGCGGATTCTTCCAGCTCGTCCTTTGAAGTGACCTCGGGAGCTGGAACCCCATAATCACTCTCTTGTGACTCGACATGTTTTGTGGTTGGCGTCATGGGAGCTGCACTCGCTGCCCACACATCTGACTGGTTCATTGATGCCTGGGCCCCGAGATCCTGAACGAATGTAATTAGCGCATATCCCAAGGTTTCCGAAATCTTACTCTGACCATAGCTTTCCCTGAGGTGACAGTGAGTAATAAGCCAGTAGCCAGAGGGGCCACGGGCTTCTCCGCCTTCCAGATCTCGCGCGAACTGCTTAAGCTGAAATATTCACTTGAAATATCGCGAGGTGAAGCCGGAGGAGCAACATCTTTACTAGCATTGGAGATTTCAGAACGAGTATCGTCTCCGATGTCCGACAAAGTGGCTGTGATCCCAAGATCAGAGCGGGGCGTCGAGGGTGCAATGGATGAATTTGTATTTGCATCTTCTGCCTGAGGCTCAGCCGTTTTGTTCTCATCGTGGGAATTAAGATAATGGCTGTTTTGTTGTCGCAGATCCTCGTTAGTATTATTGGATTGCGACTGGAGAGGTGGCTCCTTCGATAGAGTGGCATGCTGAATTCGAGGTGGACTCATAAGTGATGGCGCATAAGTGATGGAGGCAGGAGAAGGTGGTAAATGAGGGATTTGTAAGATTGTGTCGGGCTGATGCACCGCTTCTCTGTCGGGTTCATGATCCGTCACCCCACCGGAGTCCCGCGGAAGGTGGAAAGAACTCGTGGAGCGCTGTCTATCGGCTGCAGTGTCAACCGGAGCGAGATCAGTCGTTGAGGGAATGACAGGACCATTAGATATCCCATCATTCTCTGTCTCCGAGACCTTGGGAACGAACTTGGCCAGCGTGAGTTCAAGAGGCACTGCAGATCTTGGTATTGGATGGTCGTCAAGCGTTGCCAAATCGACAACATCGATGATATTAGGCCTTATTGTAGTCTCATCTGGGAAAACGGCTGATCCTCTCTGAGCACTCCTATTTAAAGGAGAGTCCATTACACCACATTGCTCAACGCCCGAGGTTCGCGATGGTCCGTTGTCGCACCTCCCTCCGTCCAGCCAGGCTTTCTCTGGCTCCTCACGAGAGGCCGTGGTCATGGCAGGCTTGCCCCCATCAGCTGTTTCTCCGCTCTCTACGCTGGCAAGTGTCCGAACTGCATCAGGATGAGCTTCACCAACGGCGTCATCAGTCTGCTCGGGATTCTCAGGTGAAATCGGATCGACGCCAGCAAGTTGAGAGCAGGTGTATCGATGGTCCACAACCACTCCTTTGTGTTCAGCGCTTGCAACGTTGCTAGGCACCCCAGTTACTTCGGGTATTGCATGGATTGCATGGATAGCGTGGAATTCGTCAATATGTTTATCTAGTTCTGCCTCAACAGGAGTCGGCTGGATTGACATTCGGAAAGGGAGTGACTTGAGCACAATGTCATACGCAGTGAACTCGCAGAGAGATCCTTACCTGATCAACCTTTTGGCCGGGTGTGTCATTGCTGCCGAATTCTACGTCAACGGGCTCATGTTTCACTGGGTTATGATATCATCCACAATAAAACCATGTGAGCATATGGCAAATAACCTAGACTCGTCTAACCTACCTAAGTTTCCGACTCCGGCATCTAAGCCGAACTCAGACGAATCCTTTGGCGAGAGAATGGCCTCCTCGCCGCACACCGTCGCATCAGACCGAGGAGGGACATCGCCGTGCGCGCCATGTTGCGGAGCAATCGCGTCCTTCACGCCCTCAACTAAGGGATGACGAGGTCCATCAAGCTCGCCGCCGTCAACGTTGGTTTGTTGAAGTTGTGCGTGTGTCGCAGGGGATGGGGATCCTTGGCCAGCGGTAGGGACTCTTGGGTTTAGTGATGGGGTACTGTCCACTGATGCCACAGAAATGATGTGCGACAGTTGTGTGAGATCCTCCTGAGAACCGGGCCATCGAAGATAAGATCATTCAGGCATACAAATATAAGACACGCACCTCCGTTTTTCGCAACGGCATAGGCAACTTTGGTGGAGCAATAGATATCGGAGGAACTTGCAGGGCCCCATTGTCCCGGAGACTGTGCCTGAAAGAGTCCTGGGAGGCTTCTACTGGTGTGACCTGCGCCCTCGGAGAACCACCTTCCGAGGTCTGTGGCATGCTATCAATATACTCGCTGCTTGTTCCTGACAACGGGTCGTGACCTAGGCCATCATCTTTGAATATTGGAGAGGCCGGTACATCTAACACATCATGACCACTGCGGCGCACATTTGCATTATCACCAATTACGACGGCAACCACTTGATCCAGGCGCCCATTTAATGTTCCAACAGCCGGTTCCGCGGTGGTAGGTGCTGCCACCACTTTCGCCTCCTCGCTGGGCACCCTTGGCACAGCTTCGAAAGGCGGATCGCTGGGGAGTGGGGTGGGGAAGCCTGAAGAAACCGGGACGGTAGCAGCGATGTCATGACTGCTCATAATTCTCGCATCTGTTGCTGCATCTGCATCGGCTTTCTGATCCACGGGCGTCGGTAGTACGGTATCAGCAATTGTTTCGCTGACTATGCTCCCCGCGCGCTGCCGACCTGTCTCCGTTACGCTCTCGAAGTCGGACTCGATAGTGTTGTCAGGAGCTGAAAACTTGGGAGTATTGACAGCCGATGCAGCCGGTCCTTCTTGTGTGACCTGGGTTGCAATGTTGGATGGACTCGATTGTATCTGTCCGTTGGGGACTCCTTGTTCGCGGGGGGCGGGTGGTTCGTCGCTGATTGGTCCTGACGACTCAGTATTCTGTCCATGGATCGAGTTGCCAATGTCGAGATTGCATTGTCCTGAGGTCATTTCTGGGAGGGTGCTATTGGGTGCCCTCAGAAAATCATTGCTATCGTCAAACAAGCCTGAGACATTTGATGCTACTCGAGATGGCTCCAGGAGAGGGATCATTTGGGGGTCGGGATCGGCACCCTTGTGCTCGGATCGCCTAGGCAAAGGTACAGGCTTCGGTTGAGCCTGGCCTTCAGTGGGCGAGTCATCATCGTGAGAAGAACTGGTCGAGACGCCCTGATTGTCCCCCTGATCCGCAACCGTGCTTTCTGGAAGAGCACTTGGAGCTGAATTTCCAGGGATGATTGATGGCGAAAAGTTTGTTCCGTCCTCAGTCACATCCGTGGCGGCATTCCGCTCTGTATCACCGCGCTCGATAGTGGACGAGGCTGAGGTCGGCTGATTAGAGGGAGTGTCTTTAGCGACACCACTCTCAGGGAAAGATCTGGGAACAGGGCTATATGTTATTTCACCAGTTACATTTACATCTTGCTTGTCTTTCCTGAGATCTGCACTTCCGGTTGCGAATCGCACCGTCCTCCCCTCTTGTTGAGTACTATCTGTAGAGACTGGAGCGGGGTAAGAGATCTCTGTTGCAACAGCTGTTTCGGGAGGGATTTCAACTCCGGATGATGACAGCTGCAGCGAAACGGGGACTGCAGAACTGGATTCAACCGGGATGGCCCTAGGTTCGGAGGGTGTGACAATCCCAGTCCCAGAAACAATTGGCCCAGGGACCGCCGCACTGTTTTCCGTGGGCTTCTGGACGCCTGGTGAGTCTGGGGAGATGACGCGGACGGAAATTTACCTTCTCAGTCGGACCAAAGCCTCCCGAAGTGGTCTGGGACTGGGCAGAAGAGAGTTGAGGTGGCTGCATGTGAATGCTCCTTTCAGCTTCAGTGTCAGCGACAGATTCAACTTCCGGGTCTTGGTGAAAAGGGGTGTCAGGGACGTGAGTGTCGCCTTGAGGTGCTAACTGGGATGTGCTTTGGAGCGCCCCATCCGCAGATGAAGGGTCCGGGGGAATGAGACTGATGCTTGGTGCAGTGTTGAGAGCAGTGCCATCCCCCTTATCCTCAGCGTGAGTGGCATCACTGGATTGAACCTGTGTGGTTGAAGAGTTGGGTGCTGGCAGAAAATATTCGCAAAGGTTTTCGACATCTTCCTATGTTGACCGTTAATACAACTATTGTCCGCGCCCGATGAAGACGCAACATACGGTTGACGCTGGGTGAGCCGATGCCGCGCGAGGTTTCGCAGATCCACAAGAAGGTTTCCTGTTGGGCACGCTAGGGGTACTTTCAAAGTCATTTGCCGCACCTTCCTGCAACGAATCCTGTGTTTGGAAAGGTTCGAGGGTTTGATTGTTGGCCTCATGACATGCATCGACGTTGGTTGGGGTGGCGTGAGTCTCGGTTGTCATTGTTGGACCGAAGAAACACTGCAGAAGCAGCAGACGAAGAACCTGATTGATTAATTCCTGAAGACCGACAACGCTGCGAGGCGCGATAACAAGTAATGGCACGGGCCCGAGGTGGGAAGCGGGGGTTGCCTGGTTTGGGAACAGTCGCCCGGTTGTTCAGTTGACCATTTCTGCACCTGTGACTTGCATATATTCTGGAACCGTGAACGCGTTCACTATATGATATGTCCAAAAGCGATATATACCATTGATCGTACAACTAATGTAGAAAAGTTACTCCGTAACCATGCCTTCAATGCTTGCACGAGTTCAATATAAAGAGTTGGGACCACCGATGCTAGTGACCTGGCAAGCTGGGCAACATTGCATCCCTCACCGTTCAAGAACTGGGGTCCTGACTGCCATACAAATGTGTGACCAATCCACGAGACCATAAGGAATCAAACCAAACACTGGGCTAACAACCTACGTCTGGATGTCATACTCGATGCCTGCTTCATTCAACTTCCGTTGTTTTCGATTCTTCCTCGATCGAGAGCGGGCTAGCATCCGTTCCTTCTCCTTTTTCGTCCGTTCCTGTAACCGTTATACGTTAGCATAATGGTATTGAGAACCAAAGGTTCATGCCTACCCGGTTTTGCACCCCGAAGGTAGTACGACGGCGAAGTGGCATCACCGGATTCTTCATATTCGCACCGATCCATAAATTTGGATGAATCTTATCCGGAGGAACGAATTTACAAACAAGGATGTGACCCATCAACAAGTAGTTGTCCATCGTTTCGGCCACGATCTTTGCGACAGGCGATGACGAAAACTCGATGAATGCAAAATGCTTGGATCTGCCGGTCTACGATAATAGCCAGATTTCAGCGGAGGCCCTGATGGGGGCGTTTAAGCAGTAACCTTTTTGTTACGAGACAAGCGGATTCGTGTGACCTTGCCATACTGTGAAAAGTGGCCTCTTAACTGCTCCTCATAAAAGCCATGAGGTATTCGCCCAAGAAAAATCACACCGCATTCCGGCGTCTTCAATTGAGGTGAGACAGGTCAATGAGTCGCACAAGTCATGAATCTGGCTTACCGCTTGCTTTTTGGCCCGTTCGAGTTTTCTTCTGACCACCTGATCGTCCTTGGACACCGTGGGAAGCCTTTCAGCGTTCATTTCACCATTAGAAGCTATCTCCTCATCACTATCGGAGTCCGAGTCAGAAGAGAAACCACGGATGTATGTTTCTTCATTGTCTGGCGAAGGATTTTTGCCTGTGGCTTGGGACAACACAGCTCGTCTGCGTGAAAACGATTTGAAAATCTTCGTAGTGGGTGCCTTCGGCATGTCTAACTTGGCAGAGCCTGCAAGAGTTGTTCCAAAGATAAAAAAAGTGTCGGCAGGCCAAAATCTGGGAACAAACAACTCAAAACAAGCATTTGCACCGTTTTCCATATTACTGTCAGTCCACGTGACTCGGCTCGGCCCACTATTATTGTGGGGGTGGGCAAGCGAAGCTTGCCCACGGGACTGCTTATGTAAGCTAGACTGGCCGCAGAGCAGCCTGTGGAAGTATAGTTTTATAACTCATCACAAACGTCTCATACAACAAAAAGTTCAATTGAAAGTTGCTTGGAATTGTAAAGGCTGATAATTGGACTGAGGAATTGTAAAAAAATTGAGTTCTCATGGCTCTACAACCGTTCTCGACAACCGGCGCGTTTTACGAAAATCCAACAGTCCGAATTATAGAAATAGCTACTCTACACGTCCAGGAGAATTTCTACGCGCTTAGCTGCTGTGTGATGAGCCTGAAGTTGTTGGGTGATCATTTGTTTATTTGTGTGTACATCGTCGCACTCAATAGCGCATTCTGGAGATGCCTGGGGCACACTCAGCTCAACTAATGCTCTCCTGACTTTGGAACAACTGAGACGACTTCCTAGCATACTCCTTATACCATTTTACATCATCAGCGATCAATATTACGGAAAATTCGATGCATACAAAACAATCAAAATCAACTGCCCAAAAAAATGCATTTGACCATGCCCGTACTATGCGCTGGATCCGTGGTTATGGAACCATGCTTCCGGAGCAATCTCAGACCAGCAGGGATGGTGCCTTATATCAAATTTCCCCACAATCTACATCTGCCCCTCAACCTTCCTATTCTGTTCTATCCAACGTGTCCGAGATACCAGAGACCCCAGCCAATCCAAACAGAAAGATCGGAGCACTGAAGCGAAAAGTCATTGAACTAGAAACAAGAGCCAGCCGAACTAAGGCCCAAGTTGCCAGACAAGCACAATCCATGCAAAATCTAAAGCGCCGTTGTACTCGATCCGAAAATGCGAAAGCTAAGACAGCTGAAAAGCTCAAAGAGTCCACAGATCTACTTCTTGAAAGGTCTAATCAGCTGAAAGAAGCAAATGCCACTATGAAGTTACCAGAAGCTCGGAACATCGCGCTGGAGAAAAGACTCGCCAGATTTCAAACTGGATGGAGAAAAGCAAGTGCCAATGTCACTAGACCAGCCTAGTCAGCCACCTAATGACGGCCTATATAGAGGGGGGGCCGTTTGGCCTTCAAATGGGCCTAAAAGGGGGTATTTACTAGTGGATGTCCTGGACATCCTGGTGAAGACTGATCCATTCACCAGGACGTCCCCAGGACGTCCTAGGATGTCCTAGGATGTCCTGGGATGATTCTATAATTCAATCAAATTCAATCAAATGCTTCTGTGATTCAATCAAATTTGTATTATTCAGGGTAGACATTCAAAACATAATGCCGCAATTGAATCTGATTTCCCATGACAATCCTCAGGCTGCTCAACTGTCTGTGCACAATGCTGGCCACTGTCTGAAGGGGTGTCAACACTGTTTCCCACGTCCCCAACACACTTTACGCAGATGGATAGCCCCTTTGAACAGCTTCCAGAATATATATTTTGAGACTGAATTGACCAATAAATCATCGAGAAAAACGCAAAATACTTTTTTGGACACGAGTTCTTTTGGGTTAGTGTGGCTGTCCACCTCATGTCTGTGCACAGTGCTGGTCATTGTCCGGAGGGGTGTCCAGACTGTTTCCCACGGTGTCAACACACTTTGCGTAGTTGGATAGCCCCTTCAAATAGCTTCCAGAATACATAATTTGAGACTAAATTGACAAGCAAGTTATTGAGAAAAATGCAAAATACTTTTTTGGACACGAGTCTTTGGGATATCAGTGACCCGGGAATTTCGATGACTTCGATGACTGTCAGTGAAATTTAGTGGCCCAAGCACTATCCCAAAGACTCGCATCCAAAAAAGTATTTTGCATTTTTCTCAATAACTTGCTTGTCAATTTAGTCTCAAATTATATATTCTGGAAGCTATTTGAAGGGGCTATCCAACTACGCAAAGTGTGTTGACACCGTGGGAAACAGTCTGGACACCCCTCCGGACAATGACCAGCACTGTGCACAGACATGAGGTGGACAGCCACACTAACCCAAAAGAACTCGTGTCCAAAAAAGTATTTTGCGTTTTTCTCGATGATTTATTGGTCAATTCAGTCTCAAAATATATATTCTGGAAGCTGTTCAAAGGGGCTATCCATCTGCGTAAAGTGTGTTGGGGACGTGGGAAACAGTGTTGACACCCCTTCAGACAGTGGCCAGCATTGTGCACAGACATTGAGTTGGACAGCCACACTAACCCAAAGACTCGCGTCCAAAAAAGTATTTTGTGTTTTTCTCGATAATTTATTGGTCAATTCAGTCTCAAAATATATATTCTGGAAGCTATTCAAAGGGGCTATCTATCTGTGTAAAGTGTGTTGGGGCCGTGGGAAACAGTGCTGACACTCCTTCAGACAGTGACCAGTACTGTGCACAGACATTAAATAAGTTGGACAGCCACCATCAAAAGACTCGTGTCCAAAAAAGTATTTTGCGTTTTTCTCAATAATTTATTGGTCAATTCAGTCTCAAAATATATATTCTGGAAGCTATTCAAAGGGGCTATTCAACTATGTAAAGTGTGTTCAGACCGTGGGAAACAGTGTGGACATCCCTCTAGACAGTGGTCAGCATGCGCACAGACCATGGGATGGACGAGTATGGCATTCCGGGACAATTTGCATCAAACTGAATTAGGACATCTGAGGACGTTTGCAACAAATGAATGAAACTGAATGGCCAGGATGTCCTAGGATGTTTATAGTGAAAAAGGCCTTTTAGGCCCCATGCAAACGTCCTGAGGTCCCCCCTATAAAGGCCCACATAGTGGTTGTCCAAGGTGCACTAGACTTCGACGACGACTGGAATTGAGCACTAGAGCATCCAAAATGCGCTATGAGGCTGCTTTAAAAGCGGCTCGGAAGTTTTCTTTGAAAACTAAGGGAGTTTTTTCGAACACCATCCGTGAACTAAGCCGCAAGCTTGTTTCAAGTGGTATACCGGCATCAAAGGTGGCGGATGTTCTTTCTGCCTGTGCACAAGCATTTAAGGTGGACATTGGCAAGGGGCCAAGTCGCAGGATGGTATCGCATGCCGTCACCGAGGCAGGAATAGCAGCCGAGATCCAGATGGCAACCGAGCTTCAGAACATAGATAGTAAGTCTATGATGCCTTACTCCTAAATAACTTCACACTAATCAAAACTTCAGCACACACAGTGAGCTGCGATGGAACAACACATCACCATATCACCTATGAGGCAGTCCATAGTCTTGCGCTGTTTCCTACATACTCAGACAATGGACCCAAGAAAGCGATGCAGGTCCGGACATGGGGTGTCCGTGCTATGCCATCGCATTCCAGTGTTGATCAGTTGCAGAACATTAAAGGGTCGATGAGCGAGTTCTTCGAAACTGCATACAAAAGTCCAGAGCTTACCGACTTCAACCCGGGTTTAGGCATTGGGAATGCAATTCGGAAACTAACTGGGATGAATTCTGATCATGCCGAAGATCAGAAGAAGCTATTTCGGCTAATATCAGACTGGAGGCACGAAGAATGGATGCTTCACCTTGGTGTACAGCATTGTGAGACAATGTCTGATGAAGCTCGCCAGGAATTTAATCATAACACCATGAAAAGTCTCATCGCTAAATCCGAGAGTGCCGAAGCTTGGTTGGATCTCACCAACAATGAGCAGACAGCACAATTTCGAACTCGTACCCTTCAAAGACTCTGTGAGCTTGGCGAAACCATTGTCAGGGTTCAGCACCCTGCCCTAGGGTGCCCCAGACTCCCCAACCAATCCCTTCCTTCCATTCCTTCATTGTTGCCTTGTTGTTGCCTTTCTGTGTTGTGTACACACGCGCGCACGGGATAGCGTGGGAACTTTCTGAGCGAGCAGCTCGCCCAGAATGTTCCCACGGGTCACAGCCACAGTTCTGGGCGAGCAACTCGCCCAGAACGTTCCCACACTTACTGGGCACTGCCACCTGGATGTTCCCTCCGGGTCACACTACACAACTCTAGGAGCTGTATAGTTGTGGGCATGTGACCCATTCCTTTATATAGCAACCATGCGGGGAGATGAGACCTTTACCCTTCTCATGCCCCGCATAGGCAAGTGTATATATTACCCTTCTTCTCATCTCATGCCCCGCATAGTGTGAGGACAGGCCAGATAGGGGTTGAGGTCAGGGAGCCTCCGAGTCCGAGGCCGGGCCCTGACAACCATCTATCAACAACTTCCCCATGACTTAAAATGTCAAGTTGACACTATTGTATGGTGTGGATGCGCTATGCACAAGGACCTTAATACCGTCAAAGCCGGGGCCAAAGCTATGTCTGAGGCATGGAACCACCTGAAAACTGTGGAGACACCAGGGCCAATACCCCTCCATAGTCTAGCCAAGGCTGCACTTGCTAAGTCAAGCCCGACAAACTCCGAAAAGCCTGATGAGCCTACACTAGATGCCGGAGCAGTCAAGCTTACATCGCTCTGTGGCTCATTATTCAACAACAAAGATGATAAAAAAGGATGTCAGGACGCACACTATCATTGGTTCCATGAGAAGCATGGGAGAACTCGTCGCTTTGGCGATACGAGTAATACCCGCTTTGCTTCACATCTATATGCAGCAATTGAGCTATTCGTTTTCCGCGACGAATATCTTGAGTTCCTGGAAAGCTGGCATGATAGGAAGAATCAGCCGGGGTTTACTCATATGGAGGAAAATTGTTATAAAGGCCTTCAGGACACACCAACGGTGACTGAGCTTGCTGTCCTGGCTCTCTTTGGCCTGGCGGTCTCTATACCTTACTTGGAGAAAATGCGAGCAGGAGACTTTCTATCTCAAAATATGCTAGATATGGGTCCATTCCATGATCAGGTCAAGCAGCATATCGCGGACCTTGCACTAGATTCCAACTTACTTCTGGATACAGAAAAGCACGGCACTTTGGGCCACTTGACAGGAGGAACATGGCACGAGCCAAAAGTGTTTGAAGCTCTCAAGCGGGAGCAGGCAAGAGGAGCACTCCCATTTCTCCATGAAATGCTCATAGAATTCTGTCGAGGTGCTGCGCAGAAGTGGGAAAGTTTTGTTTTTGAATTCTCTAGTGACGGAGTCATTGCCTCTCTAACTCCAGCAGAGAAGGCATCGGCATTCATGCCAACAACAAATGATGTGAATGAAGGGATGCTAGGGACATGGAGGGTTTGGGCAAGGCGGTTTCCATCGCTAAGCCAGCATCGATTTAATTCATTGGTGATGTATAGCCGTAACAACACTGAGGCTTCATAAGGGAAAATTTCAGTGAAGCCCATCATGCATTCCTCAGGAAGGAAGCTCGGCATCGAGACACACAGAATCTTGAGAGGAAACTATGGACAAAGTTGAACAAGGCTGAGGAAGCAAAAGCCGCTGCCAGCCATGAAGCCCAAAAGGCACAAGATGAGAAGAAGAGAGTGGAGGAGGAGAAACTAGGGAGTACTTTACTCCAGTTGGATGCTACAGTGATTGCTGCAATGACGGGGGACAAGCTAATTGAACAGATCAACAAGCACCGTTGGCTGGCCCCTAAAGACACCTTTATTCCTAATCGAACAGCAGTCAATAAGCTACGAGTTGGGCCCGGAAGGCACTACTCCAAAATATTATAAAACACTATAATGCACAATCTGCAGAGTCGCCAGGATCTGCGATCTGAGGTACCATAACTGGTCTGTTTACATACTCATTTTATAATGCATCGATTTTTCCGATCGAGTGCTCAGTACATACTTTACATTGTATATTCACACTCTCTAGATTTTTGTTGGGACATGGAATACAGTTTCATGAGTTATCGATGGAACATTTGCGAGGCCATGTTTTGGCCGAATCTGATTACATAAGCGGTACACGGACACAACCTGAGTTGCCCAGTCCCAATTATTGTGCTCGCCCGCCGCTGATACCATAAGTAGCTTCTGCAGGGGGCACCTACTCGCTCACCTTCGCACTCACGCTCGGTGTTAACTGGTCAGCAAAGCAGGGTTTGTAACTTATGACTTCGAGAAACCTGGAGCCTTCAGGATCTTGGGTGATGCACATGAGAGGGCTGGATGATGCGCTTGCACTCTAGTTAGGTTATTTAAGACCAAGTTGGGAGATGAAGTTGCTGGTGGGTGTTCCGACCGGGATAGTGGACACGGCCCAAAATGGGCTGGCAGGAGATGCGATTGCAGAAAAAACAACACAAAAAACTAGAATTCAACTATTCACGAAATGTTCACGGATAATCAAGCATGATGGGAGGAGCTGGGGAAGGCAAAGTATTTAAGAGATAAGAAAAGCTCACGAAGATTGTCAAGAAGGAAAGTGAGAATGCGATAACTACGCAAAACCAGATGGTGACCTGATCGCACGGACACCAACATACGTGACACCACGCTTTATCCCGGACCGAACATACATGCCCCGTTGACTCCGGAAAGAACGATGTCCTATTGCATATCCTACGCTTTTGCCTCCCCAGGAAGGGTCGGGCACAAAGAAGGAAGGGACTGGACGAGGCGCTGGGATAACCAGCCTTCCACGAGCACGCCTCCGCATTCTCCTCGGTCTTGAAGGAGCCCGGGGGTTAGCTAGTGGCTTCCTTGAAACAGGGACCATAGGACACCCAGGAACCTTAGACAAAGTGGGCGCGGATGGACTACATTCTAACACAGCGACTTGAGGTGGACTGATAGAAGCATCAAAAAAAAATTCCGCGAAGATCTATGCAAACTTTTGAAATCTATTAATGAACACTGTTGGACTGGGTCGAACCTGAGATTGAGGGTTCAGATCAATTTGAAGCAACTTTACGCCATCCAATGCAGCTTTTCCCGCCCTGGAACGCCTCAGTGCTGCCTGTTCTTTACTGTCTTCTGCAGGCCGTCCAACGACACTGCAGATAGGTAAGCCCTCCTTCATACGAATGCCGAAGAGAACTAACTGCTCATGTAGAATGTTGCGAGATAGGGATATACTTGAGAGACCAGAGCCTGAGAGAAGCCTGTAAAGGATTTCGTTCTGAAACATGTCGAAACATTCGACCGGCACGTGACTCGGTTCGGCTCCGTAACGGAGTTGGCCGAATTTATTTGCCTATTTGTCCACATATGGCCAACAACAATCAAATCAACCTCTCTGAGCAGTTGCAGCTCTTGCATGAGCTTAACTATTCAGACCTCCACATGCCCTACGGCACTCACAGCAACAAAGCGACCCGCGAATATGGTACCAATCGCGAAGTTCGCTTTCTCGATGCCATCGCCGCGGCACTGACCACCGGAAATCCTGGAGATGTTTTCGCAGCTGCATTCGATAAGCGAGGGCACGTGGAGGTCGTTCTAGCAAAGAATGGGCCTCTGACCCCCGAGGACATAGCCGCCGCAAATGAGCTCATGTCTCTCATCGGGGATCCCACTGTTGTGAGTGCGATGGAACTCTTTCCCTTTCTAATCCAACGTTGCGAGGCAAATATCAATAAGCGGATTCAAAACTTACACACCTCGATCCAAGGCAGAGAGCTCCGCAGCGATTTCACGTCAGCACTACAGGCATACCTACCAAAGACTGACATTCGGGTTGAGTTTCCTGGCCGGGGTGGGGGAGTGTTTCTTGGGAGGTATGGAGATGGAGCCCCTTCGTTCACCACGGTGTGGCGAGATCTCGTTGAAGCGATTACCGACATGACCTCACACGGGTTAGACGCAGAGACCTCTCAGAAGTACGCAATACTTTATCTCCGCGCAGATGCTCTTGGCCGCTCTCGTTTCCTGAATACCCTCATTGCCAATTGTGGTCCCTTGGAGATGGATCGCAAGGGGAGGCTAGAGAAACTGGAGAGGCGTTTAGGCAAGGTTTGCCAATACGTCAGCGGCATATCAGAACTCATCCAAGGAGCCAAGAAAATGTTGCCGATCCGTCACCGCTGGGTTACAGACACTTTTACTGGTAGCGGAGAGGGGGTGTTCCACCTGTGCGATAGCCCTCACGATGCCGTGGCACGTGGACTTGGCACAGCTTTATCGGAGGATATTGTGAACAAACTCCACCAGGATTTTCCCTTCATTCTCAGTAACTGGCGAAGGCGACAAACTGTGCATGCATGTGTTCATGCCGAACTTCGCATTCTTCTTCACTTTGGCTTACCACCACCCCGCAGCTTTCCTGTCCAGCACCCAATCGGGGTCAGCAAGCGAAGCTGCATTTGCTGTGCTCTGTGGATTGAAGTCCATAATTCCATTTTTAAAACTCGGTGGTTGACAAGCGGATCTCATGGGAAACCATATGCGAACTGGGCACTCCCAGGCACTGCATGCGGGTATGCTGTAGGGGATGATGGAAGGAGTTCAGTCGATGATGCAGTGCTGACGGCTGTTTCTATACAATTGACAGATGCACTGGCTTGGCTTTTATCGGGTCCAAGGAGGATCTCTGATGAACATGGTTCAAGTGATGAGAGTTCTGATGGTGACCAACAATCAGAATGGCTATTGCATGTGCTGGACTCTGCTTCTCGGTTTGATTGGTAGGAAGGTTAAGCTCTGGGTTGAAAAAATGGGTTCCTTTCTTTTGATGTTGCCAAGAAACTGCTTGCACCGGCCATCCCATACTGTAGATTATCTTTGTACTAGCACTGCCTTTAGAGGGAGATTATTCATATACCTTCAGGCATCCGACACTTGGACAGAGAATAGTGCAGTGGTCTTGCTAGCCGGATCTGGAGGTAGTCTCATGAATGTGAATAAATAACTCGGCCAGCACCAAAACCCCAAGAGGGGAAAGCTTAGCACGAGTTGGGGAACAGGAAGAAATGTAAAAGACAGAAAAGGGGAGATGAATAAGAATAACCCGCTGCAGTGGACTTTCGGTCAACATGGTTGCAAGAAACTCCATTCTTATAACAAGTCTAGTTCTTCACAGTGATGGCAATGGGGGTCTCCCATGCCTGGATCACCCAATGATCAATTATGTTCCCTTTTCATCGAGTTATTCTACATATTCTAGAATCATGCACATACCTACTCTACTACCACACACTCCCCAACCACGGACAATTGATTGAACTGCATGCCCTCCAAACTGACTCTCCTAGGATTGTTTTCCCACCTTTTCATCCTCCAGGCTCAATGTCTCAGCAACAGCATCCTCTTCAAGATTGGCCTCCCCCATCCTAGCAATCACGCCAATGTGTCTCAAAAACACAAGAGCCAGTACCAATCCAACCATCATAAACGAAAAGTTCAGCCACTGAACAGCACGGTATCCTTCCAGGAGAGCAGATTTAGGTGTGCTGGATGATGGTTTGGATGAAGAGGTTTCTTGAGGACCCAGGGATTGTATGTTCCTCGCTACCATTTGATTGAGGACTATGGAAGAGAGAGCAAGTCCTACGGAAGTCCCAACCTGCACCATATCATCAGTCATCTAGTATCAGAACGTGTCGTCAAGTCCATCTCAGTTGGAAGTGTTCATGCACCTGCGTCAACGTAGTGAACAGTCCTCCTGCAACACTCTGCTCATCCAGCCTGGCTACCTTCGCCACAAATAGGCTCCCACTTGCGAAGATAAAATCCGCCCCGAACACACCAAATATTGCAGCAGGAAAGCCAAATACCCAATAGGTCGCTAAGGGATCTATTATTGCGAAAAGGAGTGGCGCAAGACCTGCCATCACGCATCCCGTAACAATCAGAACTATGCCTTCAATGTGTGCAACAGCGAGGGCCACTGAAGAGACCCACCATCAGTATGACGAAATCAAAAAGTGCCGAATGTGTACCTATCCCGTTGAGAATTACCCCGGTAATTGACATAGGAAGCATTCGGAGCATTGCATGTATCTAAAACGTTTCCCGGGTTAGACTGTGCTGCTCGCATCCACGCTTATAGCTCACCGGAGACAAACCGAGATAGTTCTGATAGCTAATACAGAAAGAATGCATAGTGAACCAGATGATCAGGTCGACCCGATTGTATGTGAAACGCACTAGAGCTACGCAGAGAAGTCAAGAATATGGCGAAGACATAAACCAACAATAGGCAGCTTACAGAGGCATGGACTGACCAGCTGCTGAACCCTGCCCATACGAAGAACGCCAGGGCCTGCATTGCAGCCATTCGGCCGTGGGCCCTTGTGAACAAGTCCAGGTTGAGCATGGGTGGTATGGTGAGCAGGTTATCAAGGAAGGTTTCCGTTGGCGTCAATGTCACGCTCGAGGAAAGCCTCCTGGATATTTGCCAGCCAAGTCGTTTCTCCCATAGTATAAATGCACATAGAAGGACGATGGAGAGAACCAGCAACGCGATGATGTCTATTGGATCATGAATTCGAACAGCGGTGAGACAACTGGCAGACTTACAGCTTGTTTTCCACCCATCAGGTGCAGTCTCGACATCGCCGAGAGAAAACGTCAGGAGTATCAACGAACTTGTCACAAGGAACGCCCCCATCCAGTCTACACGCCTGTCAAGACTTGGGTCCAAATGATGTGTATCTTTATCGATGGCGAGCCACCCAGTAACAAATGTCAACCCCGCAAGACCTGCGCTGAAGAAGAACGCGGATCTCCAGTGCGCACTAACGATTTGTAGGTCAATGTGGCTGCCATGTAAAGATATCGAGTACGTGAGAAATTAACCTCGTCTTCTGCGTTAAGACGCCCCCCATTGTGAAACCTAATGCGCTACCCAGTGGCGCCCCACAGCCAAAAGTGGAAAATGCCACAGTCCTTAGCCTGCTCCCGACCTCAAATGTTTGAGCGAGCACCCCCAATCCAGCGGGGAGTCCAGCTGCGATTCCCATTCCTTGGAACGCTCTCATCACATCCAAACTGATTTCGTTCTTTGCAAAACCGCATCCAACGGACCAAACTGCTACCCAGGCTGCACCAGCGAGGAATACCCGACGGCGACCATGCAAATCCGCAAGGCGGCCGAACGGAAGAAGAAAACACCCCGAGGTGAGGGTGTAGGAAGATATAACCCACTGGAGCGAGGCTTGAGGGATATTGAGATCTTCGCTGATACTCGGGAGCGTTAAGGAAAATCCCGATCCGATGAATATCTGAAGTTCGACACTTCGCACTCAGGAAGAACAAGAAGCCAGAAGACTGGAACGCACATTAATGACCATGAAAAGCGTACTAGAGAAGATGATGGTGAAAATCCTCCATCCCGGAAGGGGTGGTTTTGCGACTTGGGCTCCGCCCTAAACGACATTCCGATGCGTGAATTGCGCTAACTTGTAGACGCGTAAACACAAACCTTGACCATGGGTGCTGAAAATTGTGCCACCTTTTCAGTGTGAGCCTGGGCCTCAACTTGTGTCGCCATCTATCCGGCGTGTTCCTAAAAATGGTGCAAGACGCAACGTTGCATTCAGTAACATGGTCGGGAAATAAAGTCGACCCACTCCGAGCGGGCGGTAGTACGAGCAATGCAACACTTAGAGCCCGACTCAAGGAGCGTACGTGACTTGGTGTTCCTTGTGTCTTCGGAGGATGAGTGCTACAGGTGGGGGTGAGCTGGAAAGAGGTCCAAGTTATGTAACGGCGGGGATGCCAGGTATATAGTCATCCGTCATCTATGAATAATAAGCCACACCCTGAAGGGAAGCACATCGCATCAATTAGTGTGCTTGTGTCCCAGGGAGTTCCCGGGACTGTGTTAAGCACGTTTCGAAAAAAAGACCAACAGCCAAACGAGAGCAACATCCAGGGACCCATCAGCCCTGGGATTTTGGGATTAATGACGATGAACCCATCCTCAGTCGTATTGTCTACGAATAACCAAGGGCCAGTTTTAGGGGTTTGAAGATGGTATGGAGCCGCGGAAGTGGAAGCCAGGATCCAGGCTCCATATTCCCTCAGATAGATTCCCCGATCATTTATTTCGCCACCCCTCCTTTTCCAACAGCCCATCCTGCTGGGAACCCAGGTGGTAGGAAGTACCACGGCTTTAGTGAGGCCCGGGAAGTAGGAAATTGGCCCCAGATTCTGCAATGGCTGCTTGGCACTGGGGTGGCCGACGGGTGATCAGGGCTTCACACCGACCATTTTGACTGCGCCACTATTTACCCCTACCAAAAGCTCAAGGGAGAGCTGTAGGCTTGCTCCTGATCCCAATGAAATCGTTACGTGCTTCCTACCCAATTTTGTCTGAATTTTGGGTATTCGAGCTTGCCTTGCAAGGTCAACTCGAACTCACAATTCGTGGGAAACTTTTTTTTCGCACCCTTTTTCGCACCTCTTGTCGGAAAACTGAAGATCTCGTTGTAGGGCGTTACCGAATTCTGCTGCGTGTTGCAAGGGCGTTATGGAATTTCTAGTCTTTTCTCCCTCGCTACTTGGTAACCCGGCCCCTGTATTTGTATGACAGGTCGCACGCTGTCCGCATTGCCAAATTTTATTCGGCTGTCATGGCCGGTTCCCGCTATCAACCCAGTGTCTTTGATTTAGATATTGTAACGCTATACCGGTGCAGACACAATAAGACACGATAAATTCGGCCAACTCCAGAGTGACAGATTGCCTATGATGTCACTGGTGGCGTTTGCGAACTTCGAGGCCGGCGCATGACTTTGTTCCAGCAACAACCTCAACACTCTGATCGACTTCATGATGCGACCTTCTAGATTCTTACGTCCGTTTACATCGCCTCTCCTTCTTTTAAAGCCTCCTTTCTCAGCTTTTAGCCCATACTCCACTGGAAGGTGAGATTTACTTCTCAACAGCCATGGACCCATTCCTCAACCTAACCGTGCAGCAACATGCACAACAATGACCCAGAGGTGATTGAAAACCTTTCCACAACATTGGCATCGCCGTCGAATCCCATATGAATAGATCATCGAGAGGGAGATTAAGCGAAAGGACCCTCATGCCAACTCCATCCTCGAAACAGCACCTGGTTGGAATGAAGCTACGGCCTCTGAGTCGGAAGCCAACATCAAGGTATGATGATGATTCCGACATCCTTACCTCCAAGATCTGTAGTACAGGTCTTTATTGCCTATTCTTCCAGGCCGAACGGCACGGCGGCATTCCAGATGCGAAAAAGACCCTGGAATATATCAAGAAGAGGTATCATGATGAGCCTAAAACTCCCATTGCTGATACCCCGCACAAATACCGCGCAAACACGGTAGGGCAGACGGATGACACAAGCAACCCGCATACATCTGCGGACTATGAGAGGGACGAGGTATCTGGGCCACTCGGCTCCAAGCACGACAAATAACTGGGCGAACAACACGCTAATAAGGGACAAAGAAGCTCTGAAACATCAACAAAGAATCCCAGGGAATACTCAGCAAAGAAGACAGGAGAAGACCATGTTGTTGGTTGATTGCTCACTTTCGCGCCGTACCAGTTCATGACATCACACGGGGGTTGGTTTTTAAAAAAAGGCACCACTTTCAGGCACGCTACAGTATTCTATTTCGTTGAAACAACCCTACCAGAAATCCATAATTTCGTATCACAGTACAGTAATGAACACCGGGTATGGAGGCGGCGGCTCGGGTCAACATTACTACTTATGAGAGTAGGAGTGCAATGCCAGAAGCAATGGATGCTGCAATCACAGTGTAGCCCGTGCGATACACAGAACGCACGCTAAGGACTGGAGACATGGTAGCGTCAGACTAACAGTCACAACAATTTTCTTCAGTACTTACATGCTCCCAAATCCCAGGACAAGTGGCGCAACCCGTTCAGAGAGTGGAAAGTGAAAGGAAAAGCTACGATTGCTTTTCCAGTGTATTTTACCCAGTCTGGAACGCCATGAACGTATTCAATGATGTGAGTGGAGTCAAATGGAATGCCGAGAACGGGCGCTGCCAAATATCCCAGCAGGAAACCATATAAACCTTCATGCACCAACGGTGGGTTTAGTAGAAATGGAATGACATGCCCATTTCACCTACCAACACTGAGTCCCACGCCAGCGACACGGTGAACGATGCTGAGGAGCCACGTCAATTGAGGCTGGTAAATGGTGAAATGAGGGCTTGATGGCCGCCTTAAACGTTGACTATTGAGAATAGCTTGAGAGGAAGGCGAAACACTTTCGACCTGAACGGCTCGACTGTCGCGAATGTGAGGTGGATAAGCCATGGAGAGAGAAGATGTCAGAACGAACTAAGACGAAGTGATGAGCCTTTGGGTCGGTGTGCGGAATGCAGCTGTCCACGAAATCAGTCCACCCTCAGTGCGTCAAGCAGAAGATAGGCACCTCGAGCCACAAAGGCTTTCCTACCAAGCCCAATCGTGCGGGTTACGATCATAGTCACCTTCGGTGGGGGAAGTGAAAGAGTGGTGAGTGGGAAATGGAGAGATTATTTAAATTCGCCGGGTTTTCACGTGCTCGCAAGACTCTAACTTATATGTAACCCTCCCAAGGCACAAGATGGTCAACATCAACATGCTCGTCGTGGTCCTCGTTCTATGTCTAGCGTCCCTCTCATTTTCGTCCCAACATCAAGCTGCCGTGGATTTCCCAGGGGACCTCTCCCGTTCAATCTCCGAACAACTGGATCCTAACAACACGCTTGCCGTTGTAGAAGGCGCATTCCCGTTTATATCTACCAACACGTCAGGTGTTCGTATTCCTGCTGGGTGGTCTTTCAGTATTGGCTTCCACCCTTTCCTGTCAGTTGATGATGGGTTTTCTGTTCAATTTGGCGCGGCCATTCGCTCTGAAGATGGCACTATCTCTGAACTTCCTGCCTGGCTTGACTTTTCCAACAACTCCCTCACGTTTTCTGGAATAGCACCCGTGAAAAGCGGCCCCGAAAAAGTCTTTGATTATCAGTCTCCTCGGACTGTGGATTCACTTCAAATCCTTGTTTATTGCTCCTTGCGTTCTGATGGGGATGAGCCGGTACAATCCGCTTCGGGGTCCTTTCTATTGATTATAACCCCGCATGTGTTGACAGTGGAAAATAATATTGTTGACGTGGTTTCAACTTCGCGAGACCATGTGGTGAGAAACATGGAAAATCTCTTATTCCCAACAATGACGATTGATGGACATCCGGCAACTGGTCTATCGTCCATTCACGTAGACATGGAAATCCAGAACCAGGCTTGGCTAAATTGGGACAGGTCTGTTCCCACTACCGAAATGGATCAAACTCCATCTAAAGTCTGCTTACTCAGTGCCACATTTCTTCTAAGCGGAGTAGTCCCCGATCGGTTCCTAAACGGATCAATGTTCTCGGTCCCTGCTCGACTTTCTTACGGTTCTGCATCTTACCCGTTTCTGGTGAGGTTTGAAGTGAACCCGTTTCCGTTCACGGCCTTTGATCATCCAAACATCCCCATTGAGCCACGCACCCCATTTAATGCCTCATTGTCCACATTCCTACGCGACCCCCTTCAGTATCAGTACAGTCTACCACAATCCCTCAATCCTAGGTGGCTCTCTCTTGATGTAGAGACGCACTCACTGCTGGGGATCCCCCCCGACTTCGCACGAGGCTCATCCAGCACTCCAATAACTATAATAGGGAGAGGCATAGATTCTGGTTTAACATCGACCGTATCCTTGAATCTTGTATGTGATTTGCACGCAAAAGCGTCCAACTCATCAAAACACATTAAGTGGTCAACCATCATACCAGTTATGTTGACGTTCATCATAAGCGTCGCAATATTCGTTGGAACCATCGTGAAGCGATCAGTGTCTATTAAGCACCCTTCGATTGTCACCGCGAAGAGCGACAAGCATTTCTCCTCCACGCGATCAACACAGCGTCTATCCGGAACATCATCCGACCGTGGTGAAGATTTAGTGTTTGATGCTTCTGTTCCTTACGTCGGGGCTGCTCCTGGGGAGCTACTTACCGAGGAAGCGGCATCTGTTGGAGTGCGTCTTGTCACGGCGCACCAATCTTCGGATCGTAGTCTTGACGATGGTCCATCTCCACATCTCGTTTGCGAACCAGTTTCAGCTCATTCACCGTCATCTCTTGGTCAATTCAACGATAGTCGCTTGACTCATACGCCAGATTCTACATCCAGTTGGGACCGGGAATCGGAATGGCTAGAAAACAAGCGGTTTGCCTCGTGGAGCGCATTTTGGCGCAGAGCCGATCTCGCTCCTGGTCCGTCAGGCATCGTATGACTCGAGATGGAGAATCATGCATTAACTTTAGAAAACCGTATATATTATCCATCACCTACACCTGTTGATGATTCGATTTGTCGATTTTAGAATCCATGCAATTATGGCACTATCGCTGTAGGGAGAGAGAACCAGAATTGGTATTGACTTGGTAGTTGAACGGAATGGCAACGGGCAACTAAGATATCGACTCCTCGATGTGGCTTGTTTGGTAAGGGAGGCGCAACGCACTTGCCAGTCCACATGTTATTCAATCTGCAGACAGCTCCTGTACACTTTTTGAGCTGCAAAGGATGTGAAGTCAGCGTTCAATCCCACATTTCTGCAGTTGAGCGTCGGCCAGGTCTGGGGCTTCCCGCTCCGCGGGCAATTCCCATCTTTGGAGGAAACGAATTTGACATTTTTGGCATTCTGACGATCGTTTAAGTCAGTGGATGGGTTCATTGCTCATGCTCCCTTCTGCAGCTTCGTTTATGTACGTGCACTCACATGCATTCTACACCCTGAATTTAACCCGATCGAAACAGAGTGACATCATATGCCGTAGATTTGATGGATTCCATCTCTTCAATATATATTCCGGGTGGCGTTGACAATCCAAGAATCTGGCACTCCCTGATGCCGCGCGCGTCAGTATTGCCGTGCGCACAGGTGCCTCAGCCGTTCAATTACAATTACATTGTGATCTCACTTTCAGGCTCATGACGTACATGTTGTGGTGTTCTTAGAGATTGAAGAATGCAGTAGCCTCTGACGCCAAATATGTTCCTTGCATCTTGCACCCAAATCCAGACGCCTCTGGATCGCTCCGTGGCTCGGAGTTACGCTATGGGTGGGATTAGCCTCGCATCCAGTGATTTGATATGTTTGGCCTCGCATGATCAGATGTTGCCAAAATATTGGAGACAAGCAGAATGGCAGCTATTTTTACCTCAGTAAGAGAAAAATGGTTCCTCTGGTGATTCACGGTGGTGATCCGCATGCTGAAACGATCGCATTTACGGCCAAACCCATCTTCGCAAGCATGTACGAAATATTATAAGTGATGAATCAAACAAGGGAGTACGGAAGTCATGACATCAGACATGTGCTTGGGCCAGCTGCAGAATCTGCATGACCAGCCGTAACCACAGTGGATCGGGATGAAGAGCTGGTACTAGGGGGGCGAATTGGTTTACGAACAGTTTTTGCCCGATGATGGCATGATGTTTGCAATGCAATGAAGTTGCCGGCGACACCCCAGAATCCTGACGCCCTTGACATAAATCCATAGCTACGAACGTTGTACGGTCAGAGCTTTAATAATTGACCCAACATTCCTTTGTAGTAGTACCACCGCATCCTGCCCGGTCCATAGTCTGGGAGAGCTCCAAAACCAGATTCAGATCTTCCCAGAAAACATGCTATATGAGGAAGTAGGGATGGATGATCACCTAAAATTCATGATGAAGAACAAGGACGATCCAAACCACCTCGCGTACACGGATGGCTGGGATGCCGAGGAGAACGGTACTCGACAGGATACGATACGGTCACTCACCTAAGGGAGACTACATTCGGATACAAGGAATCATGGGTAAAAGCGTACAGGCCTTTCGATGCGGAGGTGATGGGCCTGAGGGTTTCCAAAGAAAAAATTGAGAGGCAGTAGGGTTCGATTTAATCGCTTGGGACCAACAGAGTACTCAGTAATTTGCGCTAATAACACAGGAGCATGAAAGTGCCTCTTCCAAGGAAAACCAAGTAAGCTGCAGGGACGCTCGAGAACTCAGGATATTCATGTGCGACCACGAGGACTTCAAATCGCATTAGCCCCCAAGCACGGCGAAGTGCCAGGAAACGAGGGAGCGGACCACCTGGATCAGGTCCCAACCTAGGGCCGCACAGTGATCTCTCACATTCATTGAAGGCTCACGAAGATGTGATTTGGAGACTCGCACTATAGGTTACACACGCCGACAAACTTTCGGCCACGTGGCGACTAGCGGAGCACCGAGACCACTTGACATGCCTTCCGTACGCCTCAAAAAGGCTTACTCAACACTCCCTCTCTCATCAGCAGAGGCGGACAATAGCCCCGTAGTGCGCGAGATAACGTATTGAGAAAGCTGAAAACTCATATTTGTCTTTTATCCAAGGAATCCAGCGGTCGTTCGGGCCATCTGCAAACGCCTAAAAAAAACTTTGCATCACTATTTCGCCCTGGCTCTACTGATGGCCTCCACATTGCTCCCGCTGGACCCTCGCACTCCCGGCCTGGGCAAGCTTCCCTGGAGCCCAGCAACGCAGATCGTCATATCTCCAATGCTTGGATCAACAGCCGCGATTCTGACCCAAATTTGGATCAGTATACTCGTTCTAGTTGGTTTTCCAACAATTTGGCACGTAGGAGGCGCCAGACTGTATCCCAGCGTTCAAGAGCGCAATCCACATCTCATGACGAACAACAGCAGCCCCTCCCGACATCAGGGGGGTGAGTACAGATCGCCTTGCGCCCCAAAACAACAATACCGCCACAGTCAGTAGGTTACCTTTGTTACTACTCACTAGACACGTAGGATTGACATTGCTTGTCGTGTCGAAGCATCTGCTGTTTCTCAACATGTCCGAAGCAATGCGGGACCAGATAGGCCCACAGATGAAGAAATGTCTCATGAACATCATCCGCCCAGTCCCCATTTTCAAGACCATGATTATGAATCATCTGACTACACGACGGATGGAAGCGAAGTCGATGAGGAGGAACACCATCTAGATGAGGTTGTAGAAGTAAGATGCCTACAGTATGATCATTTCCCGAGGATAGCAGTGTTTACTATCGGCCCCTGTAGCATCTGGATGTTATCGATCCCCAAGTCGCCGTCATATCCCATCTTTCGAACGCCGCGAATTCCATCATTATCCCACGCCTTCCATTATATTCGCGGCGCCCAGTTGTCACCCTCCCCACCTTAACGCCCAGTGCTACCACGGACAGCTTGCCCATAAAGGAATCAGTCCATGCAGATGCTGAGGCAGAGAAAAGGCGGCTCTTCAAGAGACATAGGAAGAACGAGGTCGAGCTGAATGCTCACGTCGAGCACGTCCTCAAGCGACGCGCAAAATTTCGAAGAGTATTGAAGGGTTTGTGGGGTTTTTTAAAGACGCGTAAGCCAGCAAAACGTGATCATTGACGGCAAAACTTACCAAGGCACTCAAAGCTGCGGGGATCGTCACTGGAATTTACAGCTTCTTATGCGGTAAGTGTAGGCTGGATTTGCGGCAGCAGCATATTTCAAGGCTGAAATTTCCATGGAAGCGTTTTGGGGCGCTGCTATTGTCTTGTTCCTCGTTAAATGGATCAATCTGCACAACACCCAACACCAGAAGTTCTGGATTGAACTTAGCAGTCAAATAGAGAACGGTTTGTGGTCTCTGTGGCGTCTAGTTCTCGTGCCCAAACCTTTCTCGAATAGCTTTGTTCACGCTGACAGGCATTGGACTGCTGCCATGGAGGGTCGTGGATACGTATCGTGAGGATTCTTGAACTGGAAAAAAAAAACCATTCTACTAAACGCCCGTTTTGCAAGTTATCCTGAAAATTTGGCATTACAAGCGATTAGACGCGAAGCTGCGCCGACAACAAAGCCTGCCCCCTCTGGAGAACGAAGATGACTTGCCTGATCCTGATTTGGATCCCAATTTTAGGCATGTATTAACCGAGAGCCAACAAAGAGATCTGAGACGACGTGAGTATAGTTATGGTTCCTTGAAGGTGTATGAAGCAATCCGATAACGCGATCAATTGCAGAACAGAAGAGGTTTCAGAAAAGTCAAACATGGTATCGCCCACATGCGACCGACACCCACCGCGTAAGTCCAGAACACGCAGATGTTACATATCTGCTCATATTTTGATATGTAGGCATTCCCAATAACGTAACCACTTTCTCAACTTCGAAACGCAAACTACTAACGCAAACGTCATCAGCACAGCGCTTTGGATTTGCCTTCTCGTGGATGGCAATTCGTTTTTCCAAGTAAGGACTCATTTCAAGTTATGTTGCTTTCCAGCCTGAGTATCTCTATAGTGTTTCCTCTGTGGATGCATGTGGGGTTTAAACAGGTGAGGTATTGATCGTCAATTATCACAATCTTCTATTGATACCCCCGGCACAGGTACAACCGGCCAGCTTGGACCACTGGTTTATTAATCCCTGCATCATTCTTGTGTGCAATCGCTGCAGGAATCATCATTGCCAAAGGTGGCAGCAAAACGAAGAAAACTGCGGAAGTGCATGCACGTCTACTTGATGCGTTGCAAGAGGCACAGAAAAGACCTCTTGTAGTGGAACCGGCTGATCTCAAAGATGATGATATCTCTCGCCCATCGAAGGGACAGCCAACGACCTTAACGACATTTGGGGGACACATATGATGATTTGTATCATTACTGTGCATATTTGTTCATGATCATTTCAGCTACGCGAGTAATTTTAAAGACTGGTTGTGATAGGGCTAACAGTTCGGTCCCGGTCGCTCACTGCAATCCGTGCTTCGCAATGGTTTGAACATGGTACAATAAATGCTTGAAAAGAAACCACTTGTGTGCACGCAGGAGGAGACGCAACAGATTAGCGGGGCAACAGTCCCGGCAAATGCCAGAACCTCTGGAATAGAAGACGACCCGGTTAGTTTACAATAGGCAGGAGACCGGGTTACGCAAAAAACGAGGACAACGAGGAATAAGGAGGGAAACAACCGAAAAAGGAAACCTAGAAAAACCTGAGTAAGCAATCGGGATCCCACCCATCGAGAGTAACCGAAGGTCACAACACCTCCCTCTCGGCGAGGTTACCGGAAGCAAGGTAGTCCAAGGAAAGACTTTGTCAAAAAACAGTATACAGGCCAAAAGAACAAGACTAAGAAAGATAATGCCTTCAGCAGAGGATAAGGTATAAGAGGGCCAGAGCCCTGTAGCATAGGTGGACAAAACACACATATGAGATCACCCAGAGAAATCAACCCAGGAATGCAGCAGCAATAAACCTGAATCGGCATGACTTGTAACCTTGGAAGGGACAGTATGTGTAATGTTGTAATGTAGGGATTCCTGATAAGGCAATCCGCTTACTTCAGCAGTTATACTCGCGAGACCAGAGGTAAGCTAGAAACTTTTCTGATGATTTTGCTCAACGCACGTCTGTGCATATTTATACATACATGAAATGTATTACAATGATATTATATGTAAAATAAACTGTTGTGCAAGCACAGACTGGGCAGGAATATTCTGGCGATCTCCCACAACAATCCAGAATGCCCCGGAAGGTTCCAGCAACTGGTGACTTCACATGTAAGGCCGATAGTGGGTATGGTGCATAAGAGGGCCTCGACGATGGATGTGAGTCGAGGGGGAGTTCTGCTACCACAGTGAACACCCGGCATGGGCCTAAACCTTCACGCAGTGCCCCTGTTTAAAACTAATTAGGCCTCTAACAGCTGAAGGGAGGATGACGTGGCCACTGTGGTAATGCCAATCAACCGCAACCCCGTAAGCCCAGAGCTGCACTGGCTGGAGAGATGCAAGAGCGCGGGTGCACATCCTGCCATCAAGCCAACCCTTCCTTTTTCTTCTTACCACTACCTTTTTGGGATGACGAGCGTGATAGTGGCAACACCAATGGTGACCTCCATAAGCCCAGATGGGATTGGCCAGAGGACTGTGGGTTCAAGTCCCACCGTCACCCCAACCCTTCCTTATTCTTCTCTTCTCCACTACCTTTTGGGATGGTGAGGCGAATAGTGGTAGCGCCAATGGTAGCCTCCATAAGTCCATGGGCAGGCCGGAGGAGTGCAGGTTCAAGTCCTGCCATCACCCCAACACCCTTCTTCCTTCTTTCTCCACTACCTCTTGGGATCATGGGGCACAATAGTGGTAGTGCCAGGAGGGCCATCACTGTCAGGGACAGCTCCGAAAGCGGCGAGGTCCCTGCATGCGGGACTCGGTGGGACGAGTAGCGGCTGTGCATAGCGGCGATCCCATCGCGGGGTGAGCATCCCCGACCACTTAAGCTGAAGTGGGAAGTTGAGAAGAAGGCTGCTTCTTCTGTTCCCACCCCAGGCACTATTATATACATGCGGCTAGGGTCACGTGGAGGAAGCCATGTCATCTCTGCACACAGCCGCACCTCCCTGGGTGTCTCTGTGGGAGATCCCGGAGGTGGCCGCTCAGTAGGCAGGAGTGTGCGCGGCGCATGCGGCGATCAGGGGGGCAGGGTCAGGTATGTAGTAGTACATGGAGAAAGGGAAATCGACCATAGAATAGAAATAGAAATAGAGATAGAGAGATGGGGGAAAATGGGGGAGGGGAGACGGGGAGTGATAATGGGGTAGTGCGGTACGGCGTGGGGTGCAGCGTGGGGTCAGGCAGGTGTGCCCTGACATCACCCCCCCTTAAGCTGCTTCGCCTTGAAGTGGCTGGGTGGTTCTCCTTCTCTCTCCCTGGGGCGTGGGGGTGCGTTCGGTGGAACTCCTCAACTAGGTCGGAGGCATGGGTCAGGTGGTCGCACATGAGCCACTGGTTTTCTGAGTGTGGCCAGCCTGTATACTTTACCAGGTGCCGGAGTTTTCGGCGTAGCCACTTAGAGTCCAGGATTTTCTCGACCTCATACTCTTCTCCATCTACAAGGTCTGGGCCAGGGCGGGGTTCGGTGGGGCGTTCCGTGATTTCATTGGGGCGGTGCGGTCTGATGTTCATCATGGATACGACTGGGTGGATCCCTCTTTGTTGGGCAGTGAGCCGGAGTTTGACGGTGGCAGGGGAGATGACTTTAACAATCGTGAAGGGGCCAGTCCATTTGTGGTCTAGCTTCTTGGTTGGGCGGTCAGTTGTGTAGTTCTGGGTGCTGAGCCAGACCCGGTCGCCTTCTTGGTACGTAGGGGCTGCCTCGCGGTTCCGGTCATAGTAGCGGGCCATCTCATCTGCCGCATGCTCTAGCGCCGCTTTCGCCTCTTCTTGCATCTTCATCATCCTTGATGAGAAGGCGTCAGCGGCTTCTACCTTGGATGTGCATGTGGGTTCCGTCCCCATCCTGGGGTGTTGGCCAGTGTTGAGCTCAAAAGGGGTGTGGCGAGTGGAGGAGTGGACGTGGTTGTTATAGGCGAACTCCGCTAGCGGGAGCCAGTCCGCCCAATCATCTTGGCGGTGGTTGACAAATACCCGGAGGTAGGCTTCTACCTCTTGGTTTACTCTCTCCATCTGCCCATCTGTCTGGGGGTGGTAGGGCGTCGAGGGGGTGAGCTTGACGCTGAGGAGGTCCACGAGTTCCTTTGAGAATCGTGAGACGAAGGCGCTCCCTCTGTCACTGAGGATTTCCTCAGGGAGGCCGTGGTGCTTCCAGACATGTTCGAGGAAAAGCCACGCGATCCCCGCCGAGTCCACTGTCGTCACTGTGGGGATTGTGTGGATGCGTTTGGATAGGCGATCCACCACGACCAGGACTGCATTGTAGCCCTTTGACTCGGGGAGCTCTCCGATCATGACCACTGAAATCACCTGCCAGCGGCGGGCAGGGATCTTGTTCGGGATGAGCTTCCCCACTTTGCGGGAGGGGAAGGATTTGACACGGTTGCAGGTGTCGCACCCGCAGACGTACTGCCCGACATACTCCGCCATCTGTGGCCACCAGTAGTCGCGGGAGATGAGTTCCAGGGTTTTCCACCATCCTGGGTGTCCCGTCACCCATGCCTCGTGGTGTAGCCACACTAGGTCATGGCAGAGCTGTGGGTCTTTTGGGACATATATCTTCCCTCTGTACAGAACCAGCTCTCCTTGCTTCTCCCACTCATCTGACCTCAGTGTGCCCTCTCCCAGTTCCCACATCGCCTTCACCACCTTTTCATCTAGGTCCTTTGCCCTGCTAATCCTCTCGAGGATAGTCGTCTCCTCACCCTCTACCAAGACCACCTCCACTGCACGGGCCTCAAACCAAGCAGGTTGGAGGAGGGTTAGCCCATCATTGTCGTCCTTGCCTTTCGGGTGGTCCGCGTGGCGAGAGAGCGTGTCTGGCTTTCCCATGAGTTTCCCGGGGTGGTGGATGAGGGTGAAGTGGAATTGGGAGAGGAAAAGGGACCACCGCGCTTGGTGCCGGTTCAGCCGTTGCGCGGTGCAGAAATATCCTAAGTTGCGGTGGTCGGTGTAGACCTCGACTTTCTCCTCCGCTCCTTGTAGGAAATGCTGCCACTCCTCAAGGGCGCACACTATTGTGAGCATCTCCTTGTCGTACACTTCGTAGTTACGCTCTACGTCCGTGAAACCCTTGGACATGAAGGCTACGGGGTGGAACTCTCCATCTGTCTGGAGCTGGGATAGTACTGCTCCGGTGGCGAAGTTAGAGGCGTTGCACTCGAGTTTGAAGCGACCTGTATCGGCGGGGAAGGCGAGGACCGGGGCAGAGGTGACGGTGTCTTTAAGGGCATGGAAGGCATGGTCCTCGTCTGGTCCCCAGGCCCATGCCTTGGTTTTGCAAGTCAGCGTGTGGAGGGGGCAGGTGGTCTCGGAGAAGTCTTTAATAGACCGGCGGTAAAAGTTGACAAACCCCAAGAAAGACCGTACTTCTTTGACCTTGGTTGGGGTTGGCCAGTCGAGAACTCCGCAGACTTTCACGGGATCCATCGCGACGCTTCCCTTGGAGATGATGAGGCCGAGGTACTCGATCCGCTTCCACTCAAACTTACACTTCTCCAGCTTCAAGAAGAGTCTCCGCTTCCGCAGCGTCCCCAGGACTTCTCGGACAACCCTCCGGTGCTCCTCCAGGGTGGCAGTGAAGATCAAAATGTCGTCCATGTAGCAGATGACGACCTCAATGAAGTCCCGGAGGATGTCGTTCATCATCATTTGGAAGGTCGCTGGGGAGTTGCACAGGCCAAAGAACATGACGGTGGGCTCGAATAGCCCACGGTTGGTCGAAAACGCCGCCTTCCACTCGTCACCGTCCTTGATGCGGATGTTGTTAAATCCCCAGTGCAGATCTAGCGCTGAGAAGTACTTGGCGTTTCGGAGGCATGCGAGGATGTCCGAAATGAGTGGGAGGGGGTACGAGTTTTTGACTGTGATCTCGTTGAGCTTCCGGTAATCCTGGACTAGGCGCAGTGTTCCATCCTTCTTCTTGACAAAGAAGACTGGGGCTCCCATCGGGGATTTGGACGCCTGTATGTGCCCGTTCCGCAGGTTCTCATGCAGGAACTTGTCTAGTTCCTTCTGCTCTGGTCGTGACAGGGGGAAGGTCCCCCCTCTCGGGAGCTTGGCGTCTGGCACCAGGTCTATCGCATGGTCCCAGGGCTTCCGTGGGGGCAGCTGGTCGAAGGCCTCTTTCGAGAATACGTCCCGGAAGTCCTGGTACTGCTCTGGGACCAGTGCCTCGAACGGCGCGGGCT